ACAGACATGCTCAAATCAAATCCTACATGTCAAAACAAAGACCAAAAATCGAGTACTACTTTGATGTATGGCATGTAGCAAAAGGTATAGATTGTCATAACAAACCAACCTTTTACACATTTCATCAATAATCAAATTCCAACAGGAATCAAAAAGAAAATTTTGGCAGCATCAAAAAAAAGCGGTTGCAAATTATTGTCGGATTGGGCCCAATCAATTTCCAACCATGTATACTGGTGTGCTGCTTCCAGCAATTTGATGAAGAACTTGTCAAGGCAAAGTGGTTGTCAGTTCTCAATCATATATGTGACATCCATGTCCCTACATAGTGATGTATTCCCAAAATGTGAACATGATATGTTAGAGCCTAGAATGTGGATAAAAAAAGGTATTGTAAGCAAATAAATTTCAAAGTAACGTCAACATTCTTTTTTTTTTTGTTAACTAACTTCTGATCTTAGGTTCAAAAGCTTATGTTGAGCTGTCTTCGATTGTTGAGTCCAAGTATCTCATGAGAGATATTGAAAAACTCAGTTATCAGAAGCAGACTTCATCCATCGAAGGTTTCCACCGAGTGGTGATTCTTTTTGCACCAAAACATACCCATTTTTTCTACAGATTAATGGAAGCAAGGTAATATAATTATAACTAGTGTATGATTACATAAAAAAGTCATCATTGCAAAAGCAATAAGTTGCAATAGTTGTAAACATAAACTTAACATTCATTTTTAGATTGTTTATTGCTGCTCTTCATTTCAATGAGAATGGAAATGAACCTCAGAAAACGAAGAATGGTGGGCAAACAGAAGAGGCATTGATTTGGAGAGTGGCTTATTCAAAGTCAAAAGATGGACAAGGGGTCATCAAACCAGTGAAAGTTGACAGCACTTATGGTTAGCACAAAAAAATAAACTTACCTTTTCTCAAAGTGCAATGCAAAGCCAACATAAATAATGATTTGCTTCTCAGAATATGTTAAGGACTTGATGAAAGAAGTTTTGTACTGCAGACGCATTAATCCAACACACTCCAAAGCTCTTGATGTCGCTGGAGTGAAAGAAATACCTGTCCCATTGACTCACCACAAATCAAAAATCAGCAAAGCTGAAGCCATTAAGCAACATAAATCTCGCTTTAATAAATAAAAAGAAATAACGTCCCACATGAAATAAACATAATTACAAATGAACAGACTTTGTCATACGCCATAAGCCCTAACATTCAGTAGTGTTGAGCATATTCAAATCCTTTGTATTCTCCAGAAGGCGAAGGAAATGCTTTCCGGATTTTTTCCACAGCACAAGAAGATATGGATTGTCGGTACTTTTTTCCCAACCTGCCATGCACCCAAGCCGTCCACTGTCGGTACGCCGTGTAGCGTAATGCTCTGAACGATACAAAATTTTGTCTAAGATACTTATCGGCATTTTACACTTGTCGACATACACGTAATTACACTTCTAAGGTAATATTTACTCGTTTTCTTCACTCTCAGGCATAGGTCCAATGTCATGTGTGTACACGACCATAGCTATTTTTAAGACAGCTTCGTTTGTACATACTATGGCAAACTCTTCCTCTTGTGTGATGCAAATATGATCGCCATGTATCAGAGGATCAGTGTTGTTTACCTCTTGGCAACATATACTTTCCCGTCCTGTACTCATGACCACACAAAAGCCACACTCGCACCTAAAAGATAAAAACATTCTTTCTACTTCGGGAAAAACAATGAAGCATCAATAAAATGCAACTAACCATTCAACATTTCCAATTCTGTGAATGTATTCATCTTCGCTTTCCGATGACGAAGAATTGTCATTACTATGACCACCTTGCGCGTTGGCAAAAGGCTCAAACATGTAAGGTTGTACCTCATTGTTATTGACGACAATATCATAATCGGCTTCTTCTTCAGAAGAATCCATTAATTTTTGTTAAATAAAAAACAGTAATAGCAAAATACCGAAAGCCGTGCAAGAATTGCGTGCAAGTCGTATAACGATATAAGAACGATGTTTGTTTATTTCAACTATTACGTCACTCTTTCCCAGTTCCCAGACTTAAACAATATCACGGCGTTTTAGCAATGGTCATCGAATATCGTGTTTTACCGATTATAACCCTAAATATCTTTTTAAATATTTCGCGGACGACTTTGAAACTTGGTACGTCATATTTTCACGCTATAGGCATTACAATAAAATAAAGTTGTCTTCTAGCTTGCATGTGTCCTTTAAATGATATATTTTTGAACTTTCATTGTACAACGAAGTCGCCTCAAAAAAACTACTTCACAAATCAATAACAACATCACGAATCCATAATGTTAACAACAATTCCCCCCTTTTGTGTTAATCCCAAAGTGTCAATCACGTGAAAAGCACGCTATCCACAACAAAACAAAAAAAACAAACAAATGTTCATCACACTCCCGACGTTGATCATATTGATCAATTTATTTCCACGAGTTTTTACTATTTGACTGTCGCAATAGGTCTCCAATCACAGTTGCAGTTCTTCGTTGTCCGGTTTTCATAGAGTTTTCGTCTTTAGACTGAATTCCAACTGAATTGGACGACGTAGCTCTGACGATCGAACCTTTGTAGTACTCGCAACACAGACCTTTGCTGCTCGAACAACACCATCCTTACTTACTATGAGCTCGGTAACTCTTGCCAATTTCCAGAAAATTCGAGAGGAACGATCATTTTTTAACACAACAACATCACCGGCAGCTATCTCCTCTTTCTGTGCTCCATGAAGTAAGCGTGAAGTCTCTCTGACACTTAAAAAATATTTCGTTCTCCAACGATTAATAAATTGATCTAACAAACGTTTCTGATATTTCGCTTTTCTGGTTTGAGTTCGATTCGTACTGATGATTTCAAATTTCAAATTTTTCAAACATCTCTTTGTACTCTGTATCATTCGCTCGTAAAATCCTCCTTGGCAAGTTGCCTTTTCAATGATAAATTCCCAATCGACACCCTTCGACGCCACTTCGCGTTGTATGTCAGTTGATCTCCCTTGTGGAACTTTTGAAGGTCTTGGCATTGTTTGACATTAGTCTAGAAGGCAATCCTCTTCGTGAGACAAACCTTCGGTAAGCTTGCCGAAACGATAGCACAGACAAACAACACACAAGTTAAAGATGCACCGCTCGAGTGGAGCCACAAGTGAACAAACAGATATATATCTTATCCATTTCTTGATTGTTAGTAGCGTATATGGGGCCTGCAAAGTCAATTCTGGTGTTTGAAAAGAGAGGCTCTTTGCGTACTCGACTTGATGGCAAACACGCTTCCTTCGCTGTTGAGAAAGCTTTACCTTCGAATTTCTTGCATTTGATACATCCACGCACAACGCCCTTGACGCGCTCTCGACCACGCAAGATCCAGTATTTTCCTCCAATGGTATTCAGAGTTTTTCTAATTCCTTCGTGGTGTACTATATTGTGACAGTCGCGTATAATTAATTTCGAAAAGGTATGATTAGTGAGCAACAAAATCGGCTCTTTGCACTATCAGGTAATGCAGAGTGGACAATTGGACCTTTACACTGAATAATCTGATCATCATCGAGAAACAAACCAAGTTATTGAACTCGTAGATTTTCACGACCGGCTCGAATACATTAAAACTCGTCGGAAAACGCGGCTGACTAAATACTTCGGATCCATAATCTCTTAGCTTCAGGTAGCTCATTAGCATTCAACTCAGACGTAACAGAGCATAGTTGCTTTGTTGATTTCTTGATAAACCTTAAAATTTGTGCTGTGACACGAAGTAGTTTGTACTTGTATTATCTCTGTGTAGCAATGGTCCTCATCCAATTTTGTAGGCTGAAGATCTTCGGGCCATTTTTCTTCAGTATCTTGGAGAAACTGCTGACCATTCAACCAAATTCCAGATTGCACGAGTTCACTTCCGAAACACCCACGAGAAGGCAAGTCGGCAGAGTTTATTACCCCTGGGCAGTGTCTCCATTTATAACTATTAGTTAACTTTCTTATTTCGTTTACGCGGTTCTGTACATACGACTTCCACAGCTTATGATTTCGAATCCAACACAATTTTGGTGAATGAATCCGTCGTCATAATAGTATCAGTGATACATTTTAATGAAGTCAACACTTTCACAATCGAATCGACTAATCTTGCTAAGGTAGTTGCACCTAACAATTCAAGTCGTGGTATGGTCTGTCGTTTGATAGGAGCGACTCTTGTCTTGGCTGCTATTAAATTCATTTCAATTTCACCGTTTTTATGTTCCGTTCGTAGATTTACAACTGCGGCAAAGGCAAATTCTGATGCATCGCAAAATCCATGTATCTGATGAATCGGAGATGAAACGTATCCACCATGGAAGTAACAACGCGGTACTCGTATATCACTTAAAGCTCTTAAGTTGTGAACGAGAGAATTCCAACGTTATAAGGCCATGCAAAACAGATTATCATCTCAATTACTGCAAGAAGAGCTGATGGTTTGAAACAACATCTTCATAGTGATAGTAAAGTGTGCAAGAAGGCCAATAGGATCGAATATTTTCGCAGATAGCTTTAAAATATTTGATACTGTTCTCTTGAGATGTGTTCGTAAGTTGTGGCTCTGTATGAGGCAAAGGAGTTTTTACTAACTTGTCTTCCACCATCGTACTTGGTATATGTTTAACATATGATGACCCCTTTTTCTTTCCCACCTCAACAAATGGACGATCTTCATCATTCGCGATAACATTTCGGACATGTTGCGAGTTTGAATGCCATTTTCGAAGCTTGAATCCTTCCTCGCTCATTAATTTTCGAGATCTATGATAGATGTATAGAGCTTCGTCCTCATTAGAAGCTCCACCAACGAAATTGTCAACATATAACGACTCAGTTAATAAGGAGACTATTTATGGATCGACATTCTTGTATTTCGAAATGTGGTGACAAATAACAGTAAATAATATTGCAGGATTTGGGGTTAGACCAAACGGTAGGCGTCGGAACTTGTATTCCTTTAGCATCGGGCGAACTTTGTTAATATCGTCAAACCAAAGAAACTTCGGCCTCTTTCTATCTTCGGGAGCAATTTGTATTTGATGAAAAGCCTTTTCGATATCGGCAACAAGCCCATTGGGGAAGCCTCGAAAGTTTATCATAGTGTCAAATAAACGTGGAACCAAATTTGGTCCCCTTTCGAGGCAATTCTTGGGTGACTGCTCCTTCTTCTAAATCTTGGAGACGTTTGTAAAACTCTCGAGTCGGTGCGACACTCGACCTTCGGTGATCCGCTCTCGAGTTCTACCGAGGGTCTCCTCGCTTGGTATAAGCCTGTGAAAACAGGCACAGTAAAGATCTTCTATTTCTTGAATGACAAGAGTGCGATTTTAAATTATGGTCATACTTTTTATACTCTGCTTTTTATCATAAAAAAATTCCCAATTGGCAGTCATGATCATCATTAAGTCTATAAGACGATCATGCTTTTTTATATTATTAATTGACGATTTTTGCAGAAGAACACAGGGTGACCCACAACTAGAAATACCCTTACAAACGACATACACTTTACGTGCACAAAGTCGAATACAACGATAGGTCAGTATTTTACAATGATATTTCACTCAAAATAAAGAAAAAAATTGACAAGTGCACTAATGTGCATGTGGTTAAATAAAAATCTTGTCCCTCTAGGAAGTTAATGAATCTCATACTAATGCTGTGCCAGCCAATCCTGCAAAAGCCAGTCCAGTTAAAGGCAGCCATCAAGCAATGATTCAACTACCAATGTTGCACCAAGCAATCTTGTTAATGTTTGTTCTGTTGATTCTATTTGTATGAAGGTGTTCCCATTAAGGTTGATTATTTTCAATTAAGCAAATTTTTTTCAGAACCAAGTCAAATGCCTGTTCAAATTCTTCATGATAAAGGTGGATTTAGTGGATTGTTTGCAAATTGTTAAAATGTATTTTTGCTTGTTTGATTGTTTATATTTCACATTTAACTGAATCTCAACTACCCTAATTTGAACATGACGCAAATATTATTACAATAGCAAAACAAAAGACACCCAAGTACGACATTGTGCTTGTATCTAACATCCCTTATTTATTGAACCTTTGAAAAAATCATCCAACTCTAAGCCCATAACGGATGTACGTAACATGGCGTACCATGCTTCATTTGGCTGACAACTCATTCTGATCAACATTGACGCTAGAGCTTCCTCTGATGCAATAATGCCATTTTCTATATCTATATTCGTTCTACGAACTGTGGTACATAGTTGCATTTTACGTATGTAGTCATAAATTATATTGACCAACACGTGCTGATGGTTGTTTGAAGGAACTGTACTCGACCATAATATTTTTCCCATGGATGGGGGAACTGTACGTTTTAAAATAGTGTTATAACCGTCGACATTAAAACAATAACCTGGTTGGGCTACGACTTATATTTACTACATTTTCTATGTTTTACCTAGTTGCTTCAAATTAAGCTATAATATATAAATTTTAGAAGAAACCTTATCTCTGCGAAAAAGTGAAAAGGCTCAACCCCCTCCCTACGCTGTCTTTGACACCGTGCCTTGCTCGGGTTTAAGCCAGCTTTTTCATACAAAGACGTTTAGCTCACTTCATTTTTGATTTCTCTAGATCAACTTACGGAATGTAGGTTTGAAGAACCAAACAAGGAACTTGCAAACCCCAGGACTGCAATTGTTTCCACTTAAGTTTAATTTTAAACATTTTAGCACTTCCATCCATTTCTTGAACAATGCCCCTTCTTACGTAATCTTTATCAACAGTGTTTAGTTGAATATTAGAACTTAATCTTCCGATAGTTTTCATGAAGAAAAGTTTGTATTCAAAATTTATATTCACTCTCACGATTAATGTGGATTATAGGAAAACGCTGAAGCATGCAGTTAGTTGCATTTTTTTCTGATTTGTTTTTAATGGTGCGTGAAAAATTTTTGCTTGCCGTATGAATTTAAAGGAAGCATGTGAAGACTATATTGGAATAAGGTATAATCCCAGCTCAATAGAGTTTTGTTTAATACGATGTTTTTTCTTTACATTTTAGAACACATTCAAAATGGCGCTCGAATCGTTAGTGAGGAGTTATGTTGAATGCACAATTCGTCGTTCGCGAGGGGTAAGAATTTTGTTATAAATTTTCCAGGTAGCATTTATTGCTTATTCATGTAAAAAACATCTGGAATCATGTGAAAAGCGCCCAAAATTTTCGAAAATATGTTGAGCAGAAGTTTCGTTCTAACTTCTATTCTGCAGTAAATACTTTAAAGTGCTATCACCGAATTTTTTCTTTGGAAAATTTATATTTTTGCGGTTTTAGATGATAAATTCTCAATTTTTTTAAGAAATTTTATTAAAATTGACAATTTTTCTGCAACTTTACTTGTGCACTGTAAAGAATGACGCAATTTGTCCGAGTACAGTAGCTTGGGCGTGAATGTGACGTAGGGTGAGGAACACGCCGCTTGCACCGCGCTCTTGTTTATGTTTTATTGACTATCGGTGGAAGGCTAAACGTTGAAAACATTACGATATTTTTCCAAATAAACCGTTGTATGATGTCTGAGACTTCTTCCGTCACAGAAACATCTTCTATGTCGGACAATGACTATGAATATAACTTTATTCCCGGCGAATATGTGTTTGAAGCCAAATTTGCGCATGACTACGACCAGTTGGAACATGTGGTCGAATCTCATTCAGTCTCTTACTCAAACGAACCTCTTGCGGGCGAAGAATGGATCATCAGCAGAAGCAAGAAGATAAGGAAGTTAAAATCAACAAATTAAAAGACCGGTTTAATGGAGGGGAAGATCTGTCTAATTGGTATGTACCTTTACTTAATTTTAATATTAAACTATTACGTAAGGTGAATAGTAACAAACTAAGCGAAGTATTTGTGTGTTAATTAGACGTATTTGTTATGCTACAGGTGCTCTTGCAGTAATTGTGCGAAGGAACGCCTTAATAACGAAAATGAGTGTCTCTGTTGTAAAGAAATGGACGAATGTGTTGCTTGTCTAGAAGATAAACTTGTTCTTCGAGACACCTTAACTGCTCAAGCATGCATTACCCAGCATCCACCATTTGATACCATTTGCCTAAATGGTTGTCCTTAAGATTAGCAGCATTTAAATATAGGAAATTGAACCAAAGACGATATCGACCAACAAGATCAGAAGAAGTGTGACTATTAAGTATATGTTACATTTCAGGAATGCAAGAAATCTTTAAAAAGGTTTATACTATATACTAATGTATAATAGAATGTATGATGCTATAGTTCCACATTCCCGCAAAGTGTGGCTTATTGGGAATTTATTCATCTTACCTGTGATCGTGTTGAACGAATAAGAATTCCACTACCGGCATGTGCGTACAACGTCATCAGGAAAACATTTCAACCAGCTGATTCTAATGAACTTTGATAATGATTCAAATGAATGAAATATAATTGCAATATGTAAAAACTTTGTTAAAATAAGTGGTATTGTAAATTTATAAAATGAATCAAACAGATTATTTCATGTTCTTTGGGTAATCTTTTAAATATTGGTGCCCTTTCAAGCTAGGATTTTTGTAGACCCTGCAGCGCCTAGTCGTCCTCGATAGTGCCTATTCAGAGGATGTAGGTTCATTTCCTAGAATAGAATAAAGTGTTTCAGAGTAACGAAAAAGTATGAACAGATATACAATGCATCAGATGTTCTTGCAACCTCTTCAACAACCATTGCCTTACGACTCTTAAATCTTTTTACTGCTTCTTCCCTGCGCTGTTTAGCAAGCATGATATTCATAGGGGCAGGGGCCATTTAATTTAACTTTCTTTAATGTTTCTTTGTCAGCTCCATTATTGTGCTGAATATGCCATCATCATACTCTATGCGTAATGGTTTTTATCCATTGAAATGACATTTTTTTCATATTAAAATTATCAAAGAAATTGACTAGACTATAAAAAATAGTCTTACCATATTTCGGATGAACTTTTACAATTCGGACTGTTGTTTCCCCATTTTTAAACTTAGGATAAACAACTTTTATTTGTTCTCTTCCATCATCTTTTTTTTGTTTTCTTAACATAGATTGATATCAAAATGGACAGCTATAATGATATGTCTATGAGAATGTAAAGTGCAACTTAATTTCATCCTAACTTTTTAGAAACAGCAGAGCATCGACACCTGTAGTACATTCCTTGATAAGAGTAGCCCATCATCTTTAGGGCAAAATGGTTAAGTAATGAATGGGCGTCCTCAAGGCATCTTGTTTGGGCAGTTGGCGATGCCTTTTTTTATTCCTTTCTTGAGCGATGTCTTCTGTAAAGCTTTGCACACATTCTCGTAAACAATGCTTTCTTTATAAGACAAAACGATAAGTGAAAGTAAGTCTATACTTAAAATATTTGGAGAATCATATGTATAATGTCTCACTAAACTTCATATAACCACCATCTCTCTTCAATGCTATATGCATGAGCACATTTATTAAAGATATTGTTGGGAAGTTTACACTGCTTGTTGACCATGTGCCATAAAAAGGATTCAAATTTTGCTTTTATTAAGTCTCCATCACCAGATGGAGTAGATGTTGCACTCCACATAAAATGATTTTCACATGGCCATATCCATACCAGGGGTGGATCTAGGATTTTTCAAACATCAGTGATAAAACGTCGGAGGCGCTCCGCACCTGGGGGGTCTTAGGCATTCTCCCCTGAAAAATTTTGAATATCCGAGCCTTGAAAATGCCATTTTCAGCGTTTTAGAGCAATACAAAACGTATTTTGTGGGCATCGTTTTTGCGTAAAAACAACACATTTTGCTTACGTTTTTTTCAAAAAAAAAAAAAATGAAGTCAACAATACTTGAATGTTTTGCCAAATATTTAGGCTCATTATCATGCCAAATATATGTCTCATTAGCATGTTTAGGAACGTAAAATTTATTTTACAATAATGCTATTCAAAAACAGATATAGTCTTTAAAAATTACTATTAAGTTGTCAGGCACAGACCCCCCTAGAGACCCCCATCCAAACCTCTATGTAATGAGTTAAGTTGGAAATTTGGTACTACAAGTGACAGTTCATAGATATAGAAAAGCTCAGACTTCAAACCATGCAAGTTTATTGTAACCCTTTATCCATCTCCACATCAGTGCTAGCAAATTCACCTTTTGAGAAAAAACTCAAAATTTTTTTCTGCCAAAGATTAAGCGAAAATTATTAGAGTGAAAATTTGTAGTTAAAGACAGCTTAATGCCATAAATGTTTATTAGGCATTTCACTAGACTGTTATCTTCTGTAAATATATGCAAGGTGTGCTATATAGCAATCACTAGTAGCATTATTTGCAAATACAAACAGAATGTAACCATTGAATGTTATAATTGGTTCATGTGTCATGCTTACTGGTTATGATAAATATCTTTTCATATGATCAAAGCTCGTTTAAATGTAAATCTGAAATAATTTAATTTAGAAATTATAATTATCATCAGAAAAATTACCTAATGATCATGAAAAATACTTTGCTGTTTTGCCAAATACAGGGTTTATTTGCATACATAGAAAACATTTTTTACTTTATAGAAAATGCTTTTCATACATCAATAGCCCTTTGGAATTTATGGCAAACAATCTGGTATGAGCCGTAGATTAACACACCTTTACATCTCTACATGAGGTGTTCAGTTAGAAAAGGGGACAATATGTGATATGGGACAACATTTCATGTATGTGAAATACTCAGGTTTAATACCATTCCAGTCAAATTGTCAAAATAAAAAGCTTCATGGATCAGAAGACTCAAAATCTTAGGTTATAGTAATCAGATTCTCATGTAATCAATGTTAGTTTTCCCAAATCTTAAACAATATGTAGTATAACTGTCCAATGATTGAATGATCTGTGATCATAAACTGAAAAGCCCCAAACATTTCTTTATGATAAAGTAAATAGTAGTATGCCGCCTTATGGCTACAGATTTTTTGTCCATTGAAATATATTTGCAGGAATGTAGTATTTCGCTGCCATATAACGGCCACAATTCTCCAAGCACTAAAGAAATCATAGCTAAAAGTCCTCGGCAACAACAATTTTAGAAGCATCAATCTGCTTACCATACGCCATATTGACATAAATCGCATCACACGCACGCATAAATTGAGTTTGATATTTTACATTCATGCATACACTTCAGTTGTACTTTATTTACGATTTTTGATGTAAATTTCTGCTGATAAAACTCAAAACAATATTGGCTTTCTTTTGAACATCGATGACTGAAATGTCGCTCGCGAGATCGTCTTTGCCAAGCATTTACAATTTATCCATAAATTTTTCACCCTCTTGAAAATATTCACAGTTTTGACAGCAGCATTCATGTCAATATATGAATTTGTAAACGATTTCCATAAATTCCATCTGATTGTAGTTTAGTTTCTATCATGCTTATAAAAATTACTATGAAACGATCAAACATTCAATTCAGACAGTGAGCTTGACTATGTTAGTTCAGTTGGCTATCAGTCGAAATCCGTCAAACCAATCACAATAAAACAAAAATTCAAATGCACCAACTGTAAGGTAGCAATTGGACTCCCTTATACGTCCGGCCACCTCTCCTATCGGTCGAGACCATTCCAAACTGTCCACTGATCTGGCCATTGACCAATAAAATAAGCGTTTTTGGCGTTCATAGACTCCTTTATCCGTCGAACCAGTCAAGCCTCCCCGCTTATCAGTCGGTTATTCCAGGTCAATTAAAATTCAATTGATCTGGTTACCAACGAGATGTTCATTGGATTAGTCATTAGTTTTCAATAATAAGTAAAGCTGGATTTTTATCACGAAGTAAATGCCATGATAAAGTAAGAATTATGAATTTTTAATTAATATGAATAGGTAATTTTTGTATTTCAAACATCAGTCGCACGACGGATTTGACATACTCTAGATCCGCCCTGATCCATACCTCAATGTTATCACAATCTTTTTCTTTAGCAATTTTAGTCTGTACTTTGTGTATTTCTGTAAAAAAACAGCAGATGTGTTGAAAATTCTTTTTAAAAACACTTATTGCATAAAATAAATTCATATTTATATTTACTTTTTTTGAGATACCATGGATCAAAGTAGTGCTCAATATGCTCAAATTTTTCTCTCATATGTTTAGAAATTGTTGAGTGGCGATCCGATATGACGTGTAAAAGGATGGCCACTTAGCAAAAGACTTTCCAATGTATTTTGAATTACCAAGAAGTCCATTGCTTGGCTATTCCCAGCAATATTTCTTTGTAAAAAGAATAATTCATAGAATTTTAAGTATAGTTGGTGCGTAAATGGAGTGTTTATATTTAGTATGGTATCTTTCGCATGTATTTTTACCTGAACTAAGGAAAAACCAAATATACATGGCACTGTACAGCAAAACAAAGTATAAGCACAGTATTTTGCACTATGTCCAATTCTGTCTATGGCCACCTCCAGCAATTGTCAAATAGTTTTGTGTGGCCATCAATTTTGAAATCAGTCTTTCCTTGTTCTTTTTCCAAAATAAATGGACTGTCGGAAAAAGCTTATTCTAATAAGAAATAAATCAACAGTATTCTTTAACACAAACCCATTTTCTTAACATTGTCAAACACCTCACCATCCGCTTGATGCTCAAAAATTCTTGAAATTAAAGGAAGGTAATCTCATGTTTTTGAAACGAAGAAGCACTTTTGAAGGTGAAGCACAGATGTTAAAAGGAAAAACTAAGCAAAAACTTTCCTGATGCCATTTTCGTTCCTTTGATGTTTGGCCGGTTCTCCAGACATGTTCTGCTATTGTACAACTTGCATTTTTGAATCTAGTTATCACTGTAACCAAGGTACTGCAAGCTTTAGTTTATAAAGTTGGGTGATCCGAATTGCAACATGGGCAAAAGCTGAACATCAGTAGTTGTGACAGAAAAACAATAAACTTAAGTTGTTTTCTTATGTTATATTATTGTGGTGGTGCTCTAAAGTAAATGCAAAGGTGTGCTTGATATGACCATTATATACATGTATAGAGCTATATTTGTAACATAAACAGTAAAAATCACATAAACAGTCAATACTCATACGTTGGTGTTTTGAAATTTTTATCCGTTTGGGAAAAGTTAGCTGAACTCAATAAGTCTGATTCTTTATCTGTTGCATGATATTGTTCTTGAAGAGATATATTTGAGCCATTAGACTATTTCATCAAAATCTGTTTCAACATGTAATGTATCAGTGGAACTTGAATCAACTCGTTATTCCATTTAAGAAATCCTGCTATACTTTTTATTTAAATTTTCTAAAAATGACGCATGTGTGTAGAATTAATTGCTATGGTCATAGTCAATGTGTTAGCCCATATTTCATTTCTTTTTCGTTGTAATTTGAATACTTTTTGTTGCTGAATTCCACCATCTTTATTTCTCATTTTTGACTGAAGATCAATGATTTCTGTTTCCAAAAAGCCTATCTCTTTACCCCATCTCTTACAGCTCAAACACTGATGTGTTTGACTTAAAGCGTTTCGACACTTAAAAATAAGAAGTTACTTGTAAAACTGACCTGAAATTTGTAAATCAATGGAAAATATATATCATTTATGAGCTTACATGTTGGTCTTGAAACGAAGCTCCCTCAGCCACTACAACAGTAGTATCTGACGCAATCAGCTCTGGGACATATTTACTCATTTCTGCTTCAATCATTCGTTCATCTTTGACTTATTTTAAAACCTCCTTGACAACCTAAAGCAAGAAGTGTAAGCTACATCTTCAAATGTGAAAATATTAGTGAGGTACTGATGAATGCGAACAAAGCATCAAGATAATAGACAATATTTGAAATAGAGAATATATAATGACTTGCTTGACGACAAGATCGGGTTTAGGCCACTTGTGAAATATGTTCTTCTCTCGGATCATCAACTGTCGCATGTATAGTGTGAAATGCATTTCTTTTCAAAGTATCTCGACTAACAAATGACGTGCCACAGATTGTTTAAAATGGGCTTTCAAAATCTTCTTGGCGAACGTGTTACGAACACAATCCCAAGTTGGGAGCTGGAGACAATCTTGCACGCTTTGTTTACACAAAAGCAACGCATTGCCGCCTACGTCTTTTTTGGTCCGATTTGTTTTCTTCAGGGAATATGAAGCCCAATGCTCTTTGAAAGATCTTATGTGTTATAGCAACCTCATGCAACGCATCTATCTGGCTTTTTTTATAAAGACAACAGACTGAGAACAACAAACCTGTCTCTCCCTGCACAAATATCAAGCAATGTAGTCTACGAGTTTAAATGTGAGTGTAATGCTCGCTATGTAGGTAGGACTTCTCAAAGGTTGAGTGAAGAATAAAACAGCATGTACCAGCTTCTGTCATGAATAAAACTGTTCCTTTACGACAACTACCAAAACGTGGGTGTAAAAGTGAAAATCTGATTCTATGTGATTCAGCGATTGGAAAACATCTTTTAAGCTACACTCGCTGTGCCAATTCTTATTCTGATGAAAACTTTAAAATTATTAAAAAATGTCGCTCGTTATTCCAGCTACGCGTCATGGAGTCGGTATTAATTAAATTGACTAATCCTGTCCTTTGCCGACAAAAGGATTACGTGTTTAATCTGTCTCTGTTTTAAGTGTCATCTCTAAAAATAGGGATGACATTGACCTTTTGTAACATTATAAATATAGCATGATTTGGAGGTTCTCATTTAGCAGACGTTGACACCTGACGAGTAGTCTGCTAAAATGTATAGTGTCTCTTTCTAGCTGTAAATAACGGTTCCTTTGAATTGTTGGGTTAGTGTTCTGGTTAAAACAGTTCTTTTAAGAACTATTACATTGTTATTATTACCATTTACCATGGTATTTGCTATTTTGAAATCTATTTTTAAGTTTGTCACCACGACAAAGTCTCTGTTTCAATATTTATTTTGAGATTAATACAATACAAACAAAATGTTTTAATATTCTTCTAACGTATATTCATGATTAATTTGCAAGTTTTCTTTGATTAATTGATTGATTTGATTGCTTGAGATCAGATCGTTTTGCCCAGGCAAATGCAAATACAGTTCTATACCAATCAGAGGATGCGTTTGGTTGTTTTTTTGGGTAGTCATTGTTTTTGTGGGCAGTCATTGTTTTTGTGGGTAGTCATTGTTTTTTGCGAATTTCATTTTTTTGGCGATTTATACATTTTAAACATTTTGTGTTTTACTTTTATTTATTCACCTTTTTTGACATGCAGGAAGTTATGAATCCTTTCGAGAGGTATACCTTCTTCCAACTGCGTGAAGACATTGAGGCATTCCAGGTATGTCATGAAAACATAAGTTTGAAGTAGACAGAACAAATTCTTCTTTAAAAGACCATACTCCAATTATTTTACTTAATGTGTTTTTAGTTCATATTCCCTGACTTCAACAATTTCTTGATTAACGTTTTGTTGGGGACTGGCGACCATTATTTTGCTTTTAATGAGCCGAAAATTGCTCTGGATTTATTTCAAGAAGCCAAACGTTTTTTCCCTCAAATAGCTATTTGCTACGTAAAAGAAGCAGAATGTCACATTGCATTGGTAAGGTGGTATTGTTCATAAATTACAGTCAGTAGCGTAGCCAGCATGCAGATTTATTGCCGCTAAGTAAATGTCGAAAGATTACCATGATCACAGAATTTATCACCAACCAGAAGGGTCGCTTCTTTAAAGTGTTTGGTCTCGCTGACAATTGCCGGAAGTGTGCGTCGTTACGTTCTTAGGTAGTAAAGTCAGAGCCTTCTATGTGTAAGAGTTGGGACATCTATTGTTCTCCGTTTTGCTAGAGTTGATTGGGTATTATTGATCACATGATCAGCTTTCGCCATTTTGGTTCCTAGTTTTGAAATAAGAGCTAGTGTTTATATGGCGATTACTGATAGTGATAGTATTTTGAGATAATATTGTGTTTTGTTGTGGATAAGTGTGTAATAAATGATCGTTGACGGCTACTGTCATTACATATAGCTGGAATCAAAGATTCCAAAAAAATGAAAGAAATGCCTTGACGTCGAAATGACGAAATTTGATTACGTATGGTGATTATTGTGCTGAACTGCTTTTGATATAAGGTTTCCTCCACTAATTCATGAAGACGATTATTTTTGTTCCAAATGTCATTGCAAAAGTTTGTGCCAATGCTGTTTCAATAGTTTTCTTACACCAAAAGCTGTTTTTCAATGGAAGATTATGATTTTTTATTATATTCTGAAATGGGTCAATTTACAAGCATCTCAGTTCTCATCCACTTCCACTCTAAAGGCTCATTTCCATTCATAGTAAAATGTTGCGCGATCGACTTTTTGCGATCGAGGTTTTTCGCTCGATTTTTTGTTGAAGTTCCGCGCGTAATTTGAAAAACCTAATCAACAACAAATATGGCTGCAATTAGTAAAAAAATTTGCTTTCCTTCGGTCGTTTAATCGACGAAAATTACTATTAATGCTGATATTGAGACTGCGTATGCGAGTGAGAAAAAAGCAATGAGATGTGAAAAGCGCTTTTAGGTAAGGAGGCTTTTGGATGGGAGCAATAGAAGGAAAACATGTCGTTATTCAGGCACCCCTTCGTTGTGAGTCAGAATTTTTTAATTACAAGAAAACACATAGTATTGTAGTTTTAGCAGTTTGCATAGCAAATTATTAATTTAATCTGTTTGACGTTGGTGACAATGGTCGACAAAGTGATGGTGATTTTTACACAAACAGCAATATTGGCATTGCTATTGACAACAACCTACTTAACTTTCCGCAAACTGCTATTATAAAGAATTCTGGCTCTGGAAAGGACTACGCTTACGTATTTTTAGCTGATGATGAGTTGTTCTTAAAGCCCTATACGATGAAACCTTATGAAGGTACCACCTAAGATTTGTCCAAAAAAGTCTATAACTATAGAATATCTAGGGCAAGGAGGGTCAAAGAGAATGCATTCGGAATTTTGGCAATGAGATTCCGAATTGATAGGAGGCGCCAATGTTGAAACTGTGCGAAATGTCGTTAAACTACTATAGCTTTGCACACCTTTCTTTTAATTACTCAACCTAACCTTGGTGTGTACACTTACTGTGTAAAAAACTTTCCGGATCAAAGCGGTAATTGAGGAAGGGTTATACCTGGACAATGGAGATATGACATTGGGATAACAAGTGGCTTAATAAAGCTTCAATAAAATGGTAGAGGATCTAAGATGTTCGTATGGTAGATATTTGTTGATGAACAACATTGTATTTATAAACGCTAATTTGTAACAAAGTAAGTTTTATTAACTCAGGGTACAAACAAAATAATTTTTAAAGTAAAAATGATCTAACAGCAAATTTTTTGGCAGAGAGACAAAAACTAATTTCAATAAGTTTCTTCAAAGTTTGTGTATATAAAAGTTTTACATGGCAAAACACAACATGAATGTATTTCATCTTTCTGGAGCCTGTATTTTTTTCTTTAATCTTCATTAGAATCCTCTAACTCAAACAAAATCTGCTGAATCTTTATTCTGTTTTCTAGGTAGTTTTTTAAAGATTCAAGAAAATTCTTGAGAAATAGTAAATCAGGATCTTCTTTTTCGACTAATTCGTTATATTCTTTCTCCGATGATTTCATGTCATCAAGGTATTTCAAAGTTAAAGCATCAACACGATTTGATAGTTCCTCCTTATTAGCCTTCCGTTTCTTTGCAGGAATTGCATCAGGATAGTTCTTACACTTAGCCATTAAAGGTGTTGATTGGGATCTAGAATTTAGTTGTTGAATGCTTATTTTGCTTGTAGTAATGTTTTGCAATGGTGCATTGGTTATGGAGCAATTGTCAAGCAGAGTTATTTTAAGTTCTGTTTCTTTGTTTGCTATTTTATCGTTCAAAAATTGGAGATTTTCAAAATATTTAATTTTGGCAAGGAGTGTACTGCAGCACCAGACTTTGTCATTCGATTTCGTTTCTTTAGACATTTTTTAAAGTTTTCCTTTAAATTCTTCCATTGCATTTTCAAAAACCCGGCTACAACAGAAATTCATTGTCAAAGGTATCAAATTTATAATCCTTTTTATTCCATTAGGATTCATGGAAATTCGACTTTTGTTCATAATATACAAATTAATTTCGATATATATTCTTAGGTTATGCATCAAGTATACAACAAAGTGAGAAATCACCGAAATTTTGAGGATATAATAACAACAAAAATATCATTCAACATATACAGTTCATTTACTTATAAATTCTGAACACAATAAACTTGTAAAAAGAGTAAAACAAAGATATTGACTTTCCAAATTTTTTTTTGCAATCTTACACCAAGCGTTCCTTCTTTTTGTTTGATCTTTGTAAGCTTTGCATGTTGTGCTACATAAGCATGGTCCATCTCTTAAGAATTCAATGAATATTTCCATATCATATTCAATAGGGAAATTAAATTCCGTGTCGTTGCTTCTGTCCGTAGCTGGCCTAACTCTGGTTCACATATTGATTCTTCTTCATGATTCGTATTCTGTATCATTTTCCTTGTTGCTTGCGTCTGTAGTGGTATTTTGATCATTTAAAACATAAGTTCACACTTGTAATTTGTGCACTCCTTCCGGTCGCCATTTGAAAACTAAGAAGCGAACGTAAAAGTAGAAAACAATTCTACTTTTTTTGTTAGAGCGCGACTATAAAAGTAGCCACCAGAAAAGGTACTGCGCATGCATAGTTAGATAATTGATCGCCAAAAGTCGATTGGCAACTTTTTACACTGAATGGAAATCAGCCTTAAAAAACAACTACATCAAATCACAAAAACTGTTATGATTTTTAATGTTGCATTTTGTATTTTTAGTTCATCATTTTAAAATGTAGTAATTAGGATATTCACTGAAACAGCTGAGTACAATATATTGTTGGTAATAAATTGTACAAATGTAAATTGCCTTCTGTAGCTCAAAGTGAAACACATTTAGTTTTCTTATAGACTTGTTAATGAGATTTACAGAAGGTTTTGGTCTATAATATCACAGAGGCCTATTTCCATAATGTTGGTAGCTTTCTGATATCTGTATTTGACTAGCAATATAAAGCAAAAAATTTTAACAAGAAGGCACACCCCCTCCAACACCCCCCTATATGATCAAGAAAAACATACAGAAGTTGTGTCATTCGTTATCCCATATATATAACTCCTTGCTAAATTAAAGATTGTACCAGACTCAAATGTTATATCAAAGAATCTACAAACCGTAACATTTATATTTTCATACTAGAGAAAGAATATATTCATTTAAAAGAAATGCTTCGCCAAAATTTTTAGCAGAATCAATACTTTAGAATTAGAGTTATAAGGGTTAACGAGACGAATTTTAGCCACCCCCCCTCTTTATTAGCTAAATTGAAAGACGATGTTTCATTGATTGTATTCCTGCAGTTATAATTGAAATTGGTTTTGTAAAAGTGATTTTATGAGCGTTCAAAGTCACGATATTCAGCAATTTTTTGCGAACTTTTTAATCGGTATGTTAATGAAGTTGTGACGTAGATAGTTGAACACATATATCAACATGGCGTATTCTACTAGTAATCTTAATAAGAAACGGGGAGGAAAATTATGTCTTGCTGGCGGACCTAATCAAGTCAGTTGCGCCGATGATTCAAAAACCGAAGGAATATATCGATGCATCTGTTTCCCAAGAAAAAAAACAAAGCCACACAGACGAATAAAATGGGTAAATTTTGTGCGTAAACATCGAACAGGCTTCGAGGCTTCATCTACCTCGTGTCTATGTTCTGCACATTTTAAGGATTTTTGCTTTGACCTAAATTTGATCGCGAAAGTCGAAACCCATTACCAACACCTGTACTCTAATGATCCTTCTAACAATTCAGTATGACAGCATTGACAATTATACCTAAAACCTTGGAGCATTGTGAGTTATAAATTTATTTAGGTATCTTATAAATAGGAGAAAACAGAAATTATTGGAGCATATATGAAAAACAACAACTTACTCGTTTAGAATGCGTACTCATCACCAGCCTGTGCGAGCGCTTCGTCATTATACGCAAATTTATTTCATTGCTCGACATAGCCCAGCGTATTGTGTATTTATTTGTTTGTAACACAAGAAAATTGACAATCAAATGAAAGATATCTAAATACCGATCTAAGGACTCGAACTCGAACTTGAGCTAGGACTCGAGCTTGGACTCGAGCTCGGACTCGAGCTCGGACTGGAGTCTACACTCAAGCTCTGATTCGATCTTATACTGAAGTATGGACTTGATCTCAGACTCTAACTCGGTCTTGAACTAAATCGACTTGTATATTAGTGTATTGTGATCAAAATTTCACCAAGTAACAAGGTCACAATGAGAATCAGTGACTCTGACTTGAAACACTTGCATGATGTCGTTTGCGAGACATCGAAGTTAATTTCCATCGGCACATAATCTTTGAAGCCCAGTCATACGAAAATTTTTAAAATATGAAATACAACACAATACGCATGGCCCAAACGTAGACTTGAATGATATTTCAAATGCCAGGTGTCATATAATATACGGAAATTAGCATGAGCTCGATTGATCTGTTAACTGTTGGCAAAGAAATGTTTTCGTTCAAAGCTTCCCTAAATAGTGATAATTGTAGTCAAAACTAAAAAGCTCAAATATTTTGCCAATGCAAGCTTTGCGTGTGATCACGAACATTAATCATACATCTCTTTCGGGTGAAATATATGAGGCTGTTTACTTGCATTTAGTCCATTTAGTCGAAATATCAGTAATTATTTCATTTATTTGCATTGCAATTATTTATTTATTGCTCAGTTAATAATGAACACATTAGTCTGCTGGTGATTTATAAGTAAATGAAAAACTGAAAGTTAATAAAATTATTTTTCTCTGAGTGTTTAGTGCTATAAGTTAGCAAACACTTTGATTACAATCACACCATCACAGGAAAAACGCAGAATCAACTTCATGGAATAAATTTAAGGCCTAATGCATCTTAGACACATCATTGCATATTTCATTAACTAAAAAAGTTTGTTATAGTAAGCTGAGCAATAAAATTTTGTGATCCGTAAGAATAAAAACTGTCATGCTTGGATGAAATAGGAGGCATGCACAACTCACTACCATTAAAATATTAAAAATCTTAAACACAAATCTCTCATGACAGAAATCACATGATTACTATGATTCAATTATTTGATAACACTTATGCCAGGATGAAAGACGGCGGAGCATTAATAATTGGGGAGGGGGTATTTTTCTTATATGCATGTTTTACTTTATTAGTTTCTATTGAAATCCGTTGTGTTTACGGAATACTGTATATGAACCTATGAATATAGCCACCCAATTATCAATGTTCTGCAGCCACTTGCCAGGATAATATTGGCATTGCCACCAAGCTTAGCCGTTATGAAAACTTGTTACAGAGTCGGAATATATACCCAATAAACACTTTCCAATACGTAAAATACTTCTTACATTGGGCCATGATCAGTTTTGAAGCACAAACTAATAAATACCATATGACGCTCGAAGTAATGAAAATAAATCAGGTCTACCTAAAATCGTTTAAAAAATGCAAAGAGCTTGCAATTATTTCTGATATATAAGATATTATCTTGGAAAAAGCCCGAATCGCTTTCTTCTTTTGCATGTAAACCCGATTTCCAATGGTATTATTATAGTTTTATTTTGCAAGTAGGAACCAAAATGGCGGCTCTTCGCTCGCCACAGACCGTTTGTCCAAACTTTTACGAATAGAGGGCCATGAGTAAAGTGGGAGATTTTTACTGTAGACAATATGGCGAAAATTGGATTGTCAAGTTTAAAAATGCTTTTTGTGGAGTTTAACTGGACAATCTTAGTATGTATACAACGTATAATCAATAATGCTAAATACTTTATTGCTGATATGTGATTTAAAGTAGGTATTGTACAAATAACCTGGTTAAATCAAAGTGTTATATGTCATCTAACAATACAAACAATTATTCTTGTCTTCAACAATGGAATGACACTAGATAAATACACTTTCTAACTACCGCTTCGTTAAGTCCATAGAGAAGACATGCAGTGTATTTATTTCAAGAGAGAAAACCTTCACTGATTTAGTTTGATACCTATTTTGGATTAGTCATGTTTGCATATATTTACAAAGTTTGTTGAGCATCTGTAAGTATTTCAACAAAATCATTTCCTAACGAATTAGAGTTACAATTGTTTGTGCAGGCAATAAAGAACAGGGTGTAGATTCTCAATACTGAAGATCATGTATCACGGTTTTAGAGTAGGCACAAAAATATCAACTCTGAAAACAAGGCTATTTGTTTTATTCCTCCTTAAGCCTAATTCTATTTATATCTAATTAAATGAGTAATCAGCCCATTTTTAAACTGTACTTGAACTTATATTTGTGTTTTGTATGTCATAGTGGTACTTTATTTAAAGCGTTTAAGTAAACAATAAAGTCTTGTTAAAATCATTTTTTTATTCCTTTTAAATATACGACAAGTCATAACATATTTGTACTTGCTTAGGACATTTTGATAAAGATAAACTAAAACGTACAAACCAACCACCGAATATACTCACAAATAAATTGCAGTTGAATTGTGTCGTAAAATTAGATTTTTTACTCAAAAGAGTCAACATAGTAATCGTGTGTTACCTTCTCTTTAACATAAAAATGAAAATGGCAAAGATATTACACTAAAACTCAATAAAAATAATTTTTAAACTCGACACTCAAACTTTCACTATATTGTTTATAGTAAAATTCTATCACTTTCCACCTAATAACATGGGAACGCGCACTTCTGGCAATTGTCAACGGGACCAAAAACTTCAAAGGAGGGTCGCTTCTGGTTAGTTATATATTCTGTGTTCTATTCATTTTTTTAGAAATCTATTGTTCTAACTGTCTGTGAACACTAAAATATTTGCGTAGTGGAAGCAATAAGTCGTTCTGTCAACGCTCCTGATTTCAGTTTTTGCCTCGGTACTCCGCAGCATGCCCTTCATTCTCTCCATTTTGTAGTTTAACAATTCTTATACAAAGCATTTCTTCTTGAAATTGTGTCATCCTCAGTCAATCTCATGAAAGATATTTTTATGCCCACAGGTGGTTATTGAATCTATCTAATTTTTATTTAGGGCTTAATAGAGCAAGCCAATAACACCTGTAAAAGAGGTAAATAATCACTTCATTTAGTCCAGCTTGTTATAATAAATCCATAACTATTTTATATATGTCGTCACTCATGATGTTGATTGAATGAAAGTGGTGGCTAAGCATTTTTCTAGCAAGTATTTCATAAAAAACCTTGTATTTGTTATTCTAACGTATGCTGTGTACGGGAATGTTACATCGTCCTTACACCTAACCTAAATTATGGCAATGTTACTGCTTTAAAAATTTGTAAATGCTTAAGATCACGCAAGTTTCTTTCATTACGAAGTTTTGACTGCTTGCACTCTAATTGCAGAATTTCCAATTAAAAACAATGTGACTTTTTTTATTGTACAGCAATTAAATACTCTCGTGAAAGTGATATTAACGATGTTATGTCCGTGATTGGTTCACTCATGGCTTATGAAAGAATCAGTGATGCTCGTAATTTGCTTTTGTCCCTTTCTCAGCGCTTTCCTAACGTAAGTATTGTCTGATTCTTGGCGACCATTCATACATTACAAAAGCGAATTTGTTAGTATCATATACAAGTTTAATACATCTGAATAAAATGAATTATATTTCCTCTATACAGATTTTTCATGCTGATTATAATCAAAGCTAGTTTGAGGAAAAGTATATTATGTTACAAGAACCTTGGTAGGCACTGTTAAATAGAACTACCAAGTTTGTCACAAAATAAGACCATTGTTAGGCTATTTGTCTTTGTTTTGAAGTTGCCAACTCATTTAAAGGCTCCACACTTTTAGTTTGGGCGCATTTTAATACAGGATTGCATCTCTTATTACAACTAGCTAGTCAATGTCTCGGGGCTTACTTTGATGTAAGGAGAACTATTCTTAGCAATATAAATATGTATTATTCTAGCGTGATGATGTTACGAGAATTTTGAACAGTCTTGACCCACCAGTACCAATCTATGTAGTGGCAAAAGAAATAAATTCCAGTGCCAGCGCTGTTAAAGTTAAATCCAAGGTATGAAACGGGAAAGTTTTATATTTCTTAGAAAATATTTTAATACATTTTGTCAAGAAAATTCCTGTATCAATTATTTAGTGACATTAAAGAATTATTGTATGTATATAATCCTAGTAATTAAATCAAAAAAATGCATAAATTGTCGTATATTCTGTACATTTTATAGCTTTGTATTGGCGCAGAAAATGTATCTTCAGGGATATATGTTAAATTATGAAAATCATCACTCTGTTTTTTTCAATCATGGGCGGTTTTAGCTTTAGGCGAGATAATTTACTTCAATGCATCGATTGTTTAACTTTTATTCTTCAGAAATTTATAGCCAAATACTTTGTTAAAAAAGGGTTTTAAATTTAAAATTAGCAGTTATAATATATTTTGCCTAGAGTAGATTGGCTATTGTTTATTTAAATGTTTATTTTGTTAGCTCAATTTTTACGAAAGTATTCGGGAATTATGGAATTTTGTAAAAGAAGTTACTAACTTTGTGTCCTATCATTTGTTTTTCGTTTGTTAGTCCATCATTTCCTTTATCATGCATGATCCAACCTCATGCATGATCCAACCAAATCTTCCATGATCCAACCAAATTATGTTAAATCAATATGTGATTTAAAGGGGCTAGGTACCAGGCCTGTGATAATAAAAACAATTTTTTTATAATTATACCACCAATTATTTAACTAAGACGAAGCTTGTTGTAAACGATTTTTGGTCAGGGTTGTTTAAAATTTCAAATATACTGATAATGTAGTGCTGGTTATAGATAACAGTTACGTAAATACTACATGAAAATCAACTGTAAAACTTGGAATTCAAGCAAGTAAAAATGGAGAATTTTTAAGGAACAGTAGTTATATTTATATTTCGTTACTTGTAAGATAAAAAATCGTAAATGAAAAACAACCCCACGTCTTTATTACAAATAAATCAAAAATAGAAATGTATATAATTAAAAGATTATAAAAATGCATAATTATTAAAAGACATTATTAAATTTAGGTTTATTAATTGAATGCATTTTGGGTTTATATTTTGTTATGTGCATGACTATGAGCATGTATAACTCATTTGAAAAGAGGAACTATATTACTATAATGACGTTTAGAAAGTTCATATTTACGAAATGAGTAAAAGCATGATTTTGAACTTGTTGTTCATGTATTTTGTTACTGTAGTTTACATGATATTCAACATGGTTAGAGATTGTTATTGTAGATTTGCATGATATTTAGCATAGTGTGAAGATTGTTATTTAGTATAAAAGGAGGCTGACAAACTCATTCAGGGGCATTCTGGTTAGATACAAATTAGAACGAAGGTCATTCGAATGCAGTCGTGTGAGTTTGTCATTGTCGTCGCCTGTAACTCAGATAACTTGTAATGAACTCTCCTCTATCAATTTAAATACATTGTTTATTTTATATTAATTGCTGACTAGTTTTCTGTTTGCTATCTCTTGTTACGACACTTTGCATGTTTAGTTTGTTTACTTTGTATGAAAGCGCATTTTTTTTATTTCATTTTAGAAAAAAATATCGAAAAAGACCACCCCAGAAACTGTATTGATTCCAAAGGTACGTTTAGGATTTTACCTTTGTGACTTAGAAGTAGTGATACACTTGCCACGATTCGTGCTACAAGAAGACGCATTTTTTTGTTTGTTTTGGATTAAAAGCAGCAGTTTGACATTTATCATTTTGACATTAAGTACAAGTCAATAAAGATTTGTGCCGCCAAAACATTTTGCACGTAAGAAGTCCTAGTATTCGACACTATATATTTTACAAAGCTTCAATCTCGTGAAGAAAATATATTCCATTTCGCCTAATAATTTAAAGAGCCTATTATAAAATAGGGTGTGGAAATGTGCAATAAGGCTTTGTGAAACCAGTTATTTGTCTCATGGTTGATTTCCAATTGTTTCTCTGAGTGTTTGCATAAATTTTTTATCTCATGTATATTGTTTGTTTTTACAGGTGACTAAAACCTCAAAACAACTCAAGAGAGAATTGTATCTTAAGCAGAAGGTACTTGAGATGTTTGTTTTCGAGATATGAATGTCAACATTTTATAACTCATTACGTAGGTGTGTAGCTTAAAAATATCAGGTTATTTTTAAAACGTATGACTTGTAGCCGAGGAGAATAATGATAATAAATTATAAATATGTTGCCACTATAAGGCTGTACATACAAAGTGTAAAAAATATTGAGCCATGGTGACTGTAGTGTACTGATACTTTATTAATAAGGATTTAGATGTTTATTATAATGTTGTGATTGATATAAATTGGTCATGTTGATATGAACTATAGTTAAGATTGGGAGATAGTCAAAAAACAACAGGAGTATGAAGATAAAAGTTTAAGTATAACTTGTTAATATTATTTGGAATGAAATTAAAAGATATTACAGTGATAGTCATTCAAGCTCAAGAAAAGTGTTCTATTTTTTGAGTTTTACTTGTACACTATCACTTTGTTATTGAAGGAAAAGGTTTTGTTTAACAAGTAGATTTCCCTACATAATAATTTTACTGCATTTTACTAGAAAAAGTTCATAAGTGCTGAAACAAGTGTGATTAATTTCTACGTAAATGATTTCAAAATTGGAAACATAATACTTTTCGATTGAGCTGGAAATGAAGTTTGTTATTTTAACTATACTGACATTTTTATGACAATTTTGTATCGTACTTTAACAGTTTTTCTCATTTTAGGAGTTAGACTTGGCAGTCGAGAAAGCTTCTAAAGAGCAAGAAGAAAAAAAGAGGGAGCAGCAGCAGATCGAGGAGCAAAAAAAGAAAGAGCGGGAAGAACAAAAAGAAAGGTTAAGAAAAGAAAAAGAAAGGAAATCACGTGAACGAAAACTTGAAGAAGAAAATAAAGAATTGGTAAAAAGAAAAAAAAGAAGAAGAAGACGTAGGGGACGTTCTGTTGGTGATTTGCCAAGAAAAAAAACAGAGTCTGAAGTTGTTATGGCAAAACAGGATTCTCAGCAAAAAAATGGAAAACAGAAAGCGAATCTTTTTAATGAGGTAGGTATATATTTTTAAAAAGCGTTGGCATAACTTTATAACAAGAATTGTCAGGTCTGTTCATTTTATATCAATCATCAAAAACCATTTCTCTGACTGTAAAAGTCACAATGTAAAGATAGAAGTATATCAAATGGTATTGTTTTTAAAGTACTTATGACAAGATTTTGGATTGTTGTTGAATCTGGCAGATCTTAAAAAGTTAATTAATAAGTTCTTATTAGCTCATATACATAGCTACAAAACAAATTACAACCTCTCCATCAAAGAACCAACCTTTATCCAATTTAAATGTGAAATTCTATAAAGACGCTTAAAAAAATACTTGTGATGCAGAAGATTCTAGAATTTAGAACTTTATCTGTGTGTGTTGTAGCACGTGTCGTTATCTGGCGAGTGCAAAAATGTCTTGTTGTTTCTAAATAAATGTGAACAACATTTTTAGGGGTCGCTGTAGTAGATGCAAGCTGTTGCAATTTTCCTGCTGTATAGCAAAGCTAAATAAATAAATGAATAAATAAATAAATGAATAAATAATTAAATAAATAAATAAGCCTACCCAAATTCCTGGATCCTAAGAATGCATTGTCCTGGAGTTTTTTGCAAAATATTTCATGTTTATAACTGGTCAAACTGTGAACAGTTAAAAAGTATTTTGTAACATAAACTAAAATAGTGTCCATTGATATACTTCTTATTTCCAGTTCTTCTGTCTTCCTCGTTTTTTTCGCAAAATTTGCATTTCAGCTGTTTTAATTCTTGGGATACGCATTTTAGCAACTCAAAAAAAAATGTAGAAATTGTTAGACTTCTTTAAATCCAGTTTAAACTGTAATGGTATTTCTTATTTTATACATATAGTCTTGGACAACCACTTATATTTATTTAGATTCAACCCAGACTTTACAGAAAAAATCCCAACATTTGAACCGTTTCTAGTTTTCAAAGAAACAGCTGTATTCCAGCCAATTTTTTTTACGTATTTTTAGCTTGATTCTCTCCAATTGTAAGTTATATGTTTAATAGAAACCAATCGCTACAAGGGCTCCTGTAAATGCTCAAGGTAACCAAGGTAAGTTACAAACGTTAAAAAAGAGATTACACAAGTGATGCGTCCTGGATTAGAGAGCGTCCTCTTTCGGAGTTTTTAAGAAGATTCATTAAAAATGCCAAGATTTTAAATATAAATTTTTATTCTTTTTTTTAACAATTGCAATACGTGGTAATTTTTCAAATGTCAAGATACCACCTTAATCACCAGCGGACAGGGTGATCATAGCGATATCAAAATAAGTAATAGAGCCAGACAAATAATTTTTGAACATTGTTATAAACAATTTGGTTTTATGAAATTTATTAAAACGTTTCGTCTTGACTCAAGACATCTTCAAACTAATAAGAAAGTTAAGAAGAATTATAGATATATATAGAGTTATTTACATAGTTTTCTCACGATCTGAAACATTCTTCAAATATGTAATGTCTAGTGTAGATACGGATGAGGCCAAATGAGAATGGGTCGTTGTTACTTGTGCAGATAGCACGCGTATTCTAGAGTGTTTGTCGTTTATTTCTTTGAGGAGCAGTTTCCTTTGACATTGTTGATAGGCACTAGAATTTACAGACGGCGATTTGCCATCTTGAACCACAAGAGACGTGGTATTGCTGAACGTTTCTTGTTAACTTTCTTATTAGTTTAAAGGTGTCTTGAGTCAAGACGAAACGTCACTACTTTAATAAATGTTTTATGCAGTGCGGTGTTTGAAATTAAATGAAGATATGATCTTAATTTGAAATGAAATGAAGATATGACGATTAAATTGTCTAACAAAGTGCGAAGATCATATCTTCATATAATTTCAAACACCGCACTGCATAAAATATTCATACGACATTCCTTTCACGAGAAAACATGAGCCCAACAATATTGACCTGCTCACCACTGTGTGACTTCATAGCTCAGTTGGTCAGAGCACTGCACCGGCACCGCAGAGGTCATGGGTTCGAGTCCCGTTGAGTCACCTGATTTTTTCAGGTTCCTGAGACGATAAGTTTGAATTAGTCCTCAGCTTAAATTGTCCTGAGCTTAAATTGTCCAGCAAAGTGCGAGGATCATATCTTCATTTACTACTTTAATAAATTTCACAAAACCAAATTGTTTATGACTATTTTCAAAATTATTTGTTGGGCACTAATATTTATTTTGAGACTCTCTTTCTCGCCTGGCACTTCATTGGCAGCAGTATTGATAGCGATATCACTTGAGTTACGTATTCGTAGTATCTATTGCCATCCTAAATCAGTGGCAAGGTTTAAGGCCTCCTATGAGTTCCCATTTCAAATGACGTATGAAGCAATAATATTTTTCCTACGAGCAATAACAGTGAAAAACTTTTCAACAGCCACGAATTTAGGAGAACTTGTTTTTTTTTGTAGAAAGTAAAAGACAGAAAAAAATTGCAAGCAGATCAAAATCCTTGAGCAGGGTGGATTCCAAGCATGGATTGCGCGGCCGTAGTGAATCGAATTCTTCAAATTGTTCGCAAGCTTTGTCAACGACTGACCGTTTTAGTGTACTTGCCCCCGATGAAAGTCTTTCCGTCGTCTCGTGTGATTATGAAGTATCGAAAGGTTCTGCTTTTTCTAAGGGTAATGTTTTCGCCTCCTCTTCAAGGACTTCGTCTTCAATGAACATAGCGAAGTATGACAAAGTTTTAGAAGCGTCTAAAGATGAGTGGACTGAAGTAATTGGTGGGTGTTCACAGAAATCTTCAATATCCTTTCCTGAGAGACGAAACAGCCATTGTGAAAGTGAAGGTCAGTGGATTAAGCGTAGCACTAGCAAAGCAGGCTTCACCTCGCAAATAATTATTTTGAGGAATTAAAACGTGTGTCGACATAATTTAAATAGAACTCTTAAATATTTTTAAACAAACTATCCCCACCTCTTTGGCAGAATAATAGAGGACTTAAGAAACAACGTTTTACTGGACGGCAATGGCAGGAGGAAGTTGTTTTTATCTCCGTTCTGCGTTTTATGTATTTCGTTTATGCCTTTCGGGCCTTCGCGCTGACGTGCAAATACTTGTTTGAAGGTTGCCTCTTAAACCTCTAAAATAAATATGGCTGACAATTCAAAGAAAATGGAGTGGACAGATGAGCACAATTTATTGTTCATGAGAGAAATGATGGTTAGTGATCTGTTTCAACACAAAAAGGGAAGCCCCAATCGGGGATTATTATGGGATTCTATTGTCGAGAACTTAAATAAAACCGAAGCACCAGTTTTTACTTTAAAAGATAAGAGAAGTGTTTGAGACAGGTGGAGTCTTTCAAAAGCTAAGTTCAAGCAGAAGATACGCGAAGAAGAAGGAACAAGTGGCATTGACGTCGAAGAGCTGTCGGAGGAAGAAAGTTTGATTGAAGAGTTGTGCCAAAAAGAGGACAGCTTCCTTGAGATAGCATCAGTTCAAAAGCAAAAGGAAAATGCAAATGGACAGCCTTGGAACGAATAGGCGAAACGAACAAGCGAAGATCTGATGCGCAAAACTCAGATGTTACGCTTAGGAAAGTACGCTGCGGAAGTTGTGAATTAGTGGAATATTTAAGAGAAAGATCAAGCAAGGAAATTGAAATCCGTCGTGCAGAACTAGAAGTAAAGCAAAATTAACAAGAAGTACAAAATCAATTGAGCAACCAAGCAGCTACTTAACAAACAGAAGTCTTAAAAATGATGCAACAACAAATTCTAAAAATGATGGAGAGCCAAGCTCTACTTCTCCAGCAACAACAACAATTGTCTACAGCATTTCTTGACATTATTCAGAGGTTCACAACCAAGTAAGATTGTGTTGTCATTTTCAAGGAAAGAATTCTTAACTGTTGTGTTTTAGCAATCTGTGAAACTATAAACTTTTAATGTTTTGTTATTAGAACTATAATAACTTTCTCACTTACACTTGTCAGTACTTACATAACATGGTAAATACTTGCTAATTGTTTTTGTGTGTTTAATAATGAGTCCATTTGGCATGCCTTAATTAGTCATAAAGTAATTCTCCAAGGTTGGAGGAAGTAACTGAAAAAACCGGGATGTTATATTTCCAGACATGCAAGTGAGTGAATTTCTTGACAATGCACAGACACTATATGCCTTCCCAATACTACTAAGACCTATTTTGAGTTTTTTTTTCAAGTCCATGAACCGGAATGAGTTGATAACATCTCCAAATAACCATTCCACAGACACTCTAACTAAACTCATTTGCCTGTTGAATTCTTTCATTCTGTCTGTGATTACCCCATGCCAAAAAGGAGCTTGTAAATAAATACTCTGCGGATAAGCGACATCCCCATATATGCAAAATGCTCTCCCATCCACAGAAAAAGCATTCTGTACCAGGTCTTGAAGGAAATTTGAGTCAGCAAACACACCAGCATCATGCTTTTTCCTTCTGTAATATAAAAACTATTTGTTTGTTTGAGTTATAGACTGTTGTTGCTCGTACAATATAGTGTGTACAATAATATTTTCATTTAATTAGTATAAGCATACCAAATGGATTAAAAAATTGTGCAATCAAACCATTTGGCAATGCCACACCCTGGAACCTCAAAGAGCAAACTCTTTTACGGCCATTGTAAACAATTCGCTAATTATTTTTGCCGTGAAATTGGTCTGACCATTCCATCAATAAAGCCAACAATTTTCATAAGGTGCTTCTTTTTCATGGATGACATTGGCATAAACCTGTAGATTTTCTGGGCTTAAAAGATCATGGTTCCATTTTGTAATTTTTTGTTTATGATAGTTATAAATAAAATCAATGATGGTATTTGCAATCATACACAACTCATGAACTGGTCGCCCAAATCAGCCAATCATGTCTGAAAATCGATAACGATAAGCAAGACGATTTAAAAGAATGCATAGCCCCTCCAGTCCTGAACATGTTGTCCTTTGTGGACACTTAACTATTTCAGGGATTCTAAGATTTTGTTGGAGAAGAATCAAATCGTGTTTGTTGGCTCTGAATTCTAATTTACACTCATCTTCACTTAGATTGCCTGTATAAAATGGCCCATAATTTTTGAATGGAAGATCTGGGCTCTTTCATTTATGTGCTTTGTACAACATGATCAATTCATATTCTGTAATGTAACCTTCTTCAAAAAGCACAAGACAAAAGTTTCGTATTGTTTTAAACGAATACATAAAAAAGAGTTGACCTTCAACCGTCGCTTTCTATTACGAACTTTGCTTAACTTTTTTGCTTAACTTTTTTATACGCGGGAGCGCCATGTTCTTCCCAGTCTTCGGCGATGTTTCACGACGCCGTTGTCGGATAAAACGTAGTTACTTAAACTCTCTAATGCCACCGCTCGCAACGGGAGTTCTAATCACAAATTTCCACAAGTAAGGGAAAACTAATTTATTTTATACTAGTATATCGAAGCCTAAAAATAATTATCTTCTCAGAAATCTTATTCATAATTGTTAATTTTAAAAGCACTGATAATCTTAATTAGCTATTCTTGATATTATAAACTTTGTTATAAAATGTTCGTTTAGAAGTCTTATTCCGCCCCCATGCAGGCAGATTTTAAAGATTGTTTTGCTTGTGAAAAGTAGAAATGCGCTTTTATTAAAAGTAAAATAGTTCAGTGTTCTATGAAATTTGAAAAAATATGATTTAAATCATACACTTGGATATAAATCTATAAATCCTTATAACTCTATAGCTAGGTGGATACTCATGCGCGAATAATTTCCTACTTTTCTATATAAAAAGTCAACCATACATGTTATTATATGAGTATAGCTTTGTTCTTAACTAAGTATTTTCTTCACGCATTGCCGAATCTTTCAGTGAATTCATCAGTGAAAGATTCCGCACTTTTCCTGACAAAAAATTTTATTTAGTTTTGCAAGTGTTTTTTTACATTATTGCAGCTTAAGTATTTGCGAAATTTTCTGACTGGGAAAATTTGTTTTGAGGGTTTCTTATTAACAAGCAAAGCAATAAAAGTCAGAAATTTCCCTGGTCATATATTTTGCGTAACACTGGGCCTATCCACCAATAGTAAGTTGCTATATTATATCGTAAATATATTTTAAAGCTTACTAGACATTTCAATTTATAGCCCTGTTTACACGACAACTGTTTTGGGTACGGCACGACTAAATTTTGGCACGCGGGCCACTGTCTTTTATCAAGTCCGCTTTGTGTACACGTTAATTTTTTAAGTTGATTTATAAAAACGGCCTACTTAAACTACGAGCCCCGAAAAATAAGTGATAAAAAAAAAATTAAATTGGCAGATTATTAAAAACTTCAAACATGGCGGACTTACATATTGATGAAGTAAAGATAGCTTTAGCTTGGTATATGCACTTCCGAATTCGACAGCAAACCGTTCAAACAAGGTTTAAAAGCTGCTATCCTTTGGTAGTATCGTTTCGTATAAGAAATAAGTGTCGATTTGCCTTGGTCAAACCAGTACTGGCCTATTTGCATTAAGCACGAGAAAAGTTGTTGTGGATGCATCCATCATGACTAGTTTGGTTTAATATGGTCGATAAACATTACAACGAAGAACTACGATACGCTAATTCTCGCGAGACGAAAAGCACGTTTGAATTTATATTAAACAGGGTTCGGCAAGAAGTAGATCGTAGAATTACTCCCATGCGTAATCCAGTTTCTGTAAAACGACGCCTGGCCACAGCGTTGTATTATTTATTGTGTACTGCAGAGTATCGAACTGTTGCTAATCTTTTTGGCGTCTCGCGTTCATTAATGTGTCAGTGCATTAAAGAAGTAAGCTGTGCAATAATAAAACACTTTCCCAACGCAATCAAGTCTCTTAAGGGAGACGACCTCTTTCAAGTTTTGCAAGGTTATGAAGAGCAGTGGGGTTTTCCTATGTGTGCTTGTGCAATAAATGGCACGCACGTACCAATATTAGCACTAGCTAATAGCGACATAGAGTACGTGAATCGTAGAGGTTTTCATATTATTGTGATGCAAGCAATCGCTGACTGTAATTATATGTTCGGGGATGTGGTTATAGGATGGCCTGGTAGCGTTTATAATGCGCGAATTCTTTCTAATTCTACACTTTTCTCCAATGGAAATATGAAACGTCTTTTTCCTCCCGATATTGTGAAGGAAATTAGCGGAGTGGAAATAGCACCGTTTCTCCTAGAAGACCCCGCTTACCATACTTGTCGTGGTTGATAAAGGGGTATCCCAAAATTGTGGCTACTGAAAGACAGAAGAAGTTTTGAATGACTGTGGAAAACACATTTTGGAGATGGAAAGGACGTATTGCAAGATTTAGTAAAGGGCTAGTTATGGAAGTAGCTTCTTCGGTCGTTATTATCCATTGTTATGCATTTACATAATATATGTAAACTTCATAAGAACGAATTCATGCCCGACTGGGAAGCAGTAGAAATTTTTTATGATGCTTTTGTTGTGCTGCCAATTAATGAAATCGAAGCAGAAGATGCTCACGATTTTTGTGCTGCTTTATCAAACTATTTTTCTTAAACAGTTCTTCAATATTCTTTTGAAATATAACGTTACATAAATTCCACCATTCCACAAAATGTTGTTAACAAAATCATTTGAATGAGGTTAATATTGAAATAAAGACCAAAAATGAAATTTGAAAGACCCTTGTAAGTTGTAAAGACCCTGTATTTCATTGTGCCGTTAAACGACTGGCATATCTTGTTTAAAAGCAGTTACTGAAATATCTAAAACATGAAAGCCAGGCAAAAGAAAACGAACATAGTGTAGAAATATCAACTGTTTAAATGATAAAAAAGTTTTACAATTGCATAAAGGTTTTTTCTGCGTTTGAATCACTTTAGACGCTGCTGTGAAGTCGGTATAGTTGTAAAAAAATTGATCAACACTGTACTTAATATGATAATTATGTTGTTGGTAACCATTTATAGAAGCAGAAAGCTGTCGAGCTGGTGATGATAACATCATTAGCCTCATACTTAGCTCATGCGCCCGTTCCTCTCTTCTTCTCCCATTGTAAAGCTGAATTTGCTCTAATCGAAATTTATTTTGTCTATCAATGCGATACTGTTCAAACTTCTGATACCTAAAGACAATTTACACTGAATTTAACAAAAATTTCGTAAAATTTAAATACGCGAGAATATTTCATATGCGATCATCATTTTGTAATATTTCGTTTTTCCCGTACCATATTAAGTTTAGCAAAACCATTTTCTAGCAATTTCGCAGTTTTCAACTCAAGTCACAGAAAGGTGCCAACATGTCTACACAAATGATTTGTTCAATACCTTTCAAATTTAGCTGCCGATCATCAGATTTGATCATCGATGACTGTTCAAATTTTGCAAATATAACCCCTAAGATTTTCTCTACATTGCTTTTTCTTTTTTTACGGGGCAAACTTGGGTCCGTTTTGCGATTTGACTTTTTTTCTTCTGTCGATGTTTTTTTTGACTTTTTCTCGTGTTTGTGACTGGATTAACTTCTCTTTGGAAATTCATAACTGAGCAATTGACTTTTTCACCGTTATCATCAAAGCCTTTCTTAGCAACAAAAATTTCATTTGTTAAACATCATTTATTACAAACATTATGGGGGGAAGTAAGGTGACAGAAGATTTATTTTACAAACTATATCTCGTATGAATCAAGTATTGTACAATAGTGTAGAGTTAAACATGGCAAAAACAGAATATGGGGTAAAATGGTGCATTACACCAGTAAGACTTACCAGAAATATTTTCTGGCTGTTGCTTCTCGTTTTCTGAAGAGCAATTTGGGGGGAAAACTGGTCGTTATTAGCGTACACAATAACCGCCCCATTTTCAGTTACATGTATCCCTCCCCTTTTTAATTCTTCTTCGTAATCACAGGTAGAACACTCTTGAAGATGAGGTTCACCTTTGCCATACTTATTGATCATGTCATCAACTACAAATACAATAAACTATGTTTGACAGCAATTTTAGTGTAAGTTAATAAAGTAAGACTGAAATCTGAGTTTTGTAAAATGCATGTCAATGCAAAAAGTTTTGCAATGATTCCATTAACTTGAATTATTTTTTTATCATGTCTACGTCGTATTCACAGCAATTCATTCTTGCAAAACACATTAAATCAAAGATTTAAGATAAGATATTGTTATTTCAAGCACTAAAATGGTGAAAAATTCATGACTTTCGGTTGTTTTGTATTTGCCTGCTCATCAAATTTTATATGCTCTATTGCGTTTTCAATGATTACAAAAACGTGAACAGGTTTAGGCTTTAAGTTTTTGTTTGAAAACAAGAAAATAATAGTGTTGATTATTGAAGCACATAAAATGCCATAAAATACGAGCAAATATGATAGTTTTTACGAGAGTGATCAGTCCTTTAAGTGAAAGTAATTGATTAAATCATTAGGGCATAAAAATGCGTTACAGGTGGTTGCTCATTACAGGTACTTTTCAAATAGATCTTATCGGTGCCAGAAGAAGAGGTTGTTAATGACAGGTGGTCGCAAAACGCAGGAATTGCGCAAATCAGATTTTGCTGTAACATTAAAAATATTTTTATTTTGAAAAAGATGACTTCATGTATACCACGGTTGAAACTGCTATCCTCTAATAAAATTCATACACATCTTGTTCATCACCTTCTGCCATACTGTCGATGATTTTTAACGGATTGACGTTGTGTCGCACAGTTGGAAAAGCATCAATCTATTTAAAAAACTTCCACTTTTTAAGACACCTGTTCCTTTTTGCCGTGACCTATCTTTTTCTTTATTATATCTCTGGCATATTTTCTTTAGTTTATTTATCAATTCTTTTAAGGTAAACTCATTATATCCATTTTCTTCCAACTGAGACTGTAAAACAACACATAATATTATTTTGCTTCCAACTGAGACTGTAAAACAACACATACATAGTTGCAATACGTACAGACTGTAAAACAACAACACATAGTTGCAATACGTACAATATGGCGGCGGTAGAAGTTCAAATGGACTTGCTCGAAATAAGCCGTATCATACGAGATATAACAGATATACATGCGATTAAATTAATGAAAGAAATACCCGGGCAAGCTAAGTACAATATCTTTTAATGGAAAGGACGGAGAATCATTTAAGAATTTGTTGATAAGCGTCTTGGAGTCGTCAAGCGCTAACTTGTCTGAAGTACAAGATAAGATTAACACCGATATTGAAAATAAGCATGAATCTGCTGAGCAAACTATACGTGAAAGCTGTGAAACACGGGGCGAATTTGCTAAATCTGAAACGCAAAATTTGCCTGTATCGGCTTTTGACCAGTCGACAATCGAGGAGTTACAGGACTTTATTGATAGTTCCTTTCAAAAACTTTCCTCACAAAAAAATAAAGACGATTTAACGGAATCTCTTATCGGCCCAACTCCATGTCGAGCCGGAGACACTGAAATATCCTTAGAGGACAAGTTTGATGAGTTTAAAAATCAAATTGAATTAACGGTGTTTAAAATGGTGGCAAAAATTTCAGAACAAAAGCAACTCGTACTTAGAAACAAGCAAGATATATGCAAATTGACAACAGAAAATTTGAATTTAAAGTCACGCTTAACAAAGATAGAAAGTGAAGTGCTTGTTTTGTCACATGCCACGCCAACTACTACACCAAAAATTCCTTTAAATGACGAAACGACTATATCGCAAAACAATGTGCCCTTAATTTGTAATGCAAAACCTGCTAATCTCGAGACAAGCGTAGGCGTGCAGGACTCAGTAAAATCCCCTGCAGCAGGTCAAGGCTGCAAGAGTGGAAGAACGACTCAAGTTCAAATTGATAAACAGCTTATTGAGTATCGACGAAAGCAACAAAACAAATATCAGAAAGATTTCCCTAGTAATAAGTGCTTAAATCAACTTGAGTCCCAATTACATGTATATCAATGCAAGCAGCGGAATAATTATCAAAGCTGTAAAGTCAGCGAAACGATTGACACTCAAAACCAGCAGGCGCAAAGAAATGAAATTCCTAGCAACGAACTTGTCTCTAAGAATACCGAGCATCAACGAAAACATCAGAGCAACTTTAATTCTGAAGTAGATAAAGACTTAAAAATCACACGTACTGATAGAGTAATGAAGCAAGTACATTCGACCGCACCAGGCCATAAACAAACCCATTTTTGGCATCGTCAGTCGTTCCAACGACGCCCTTATCACCAATACTTCCATCAACAAGTTCCTTTTCAGAATCGTCAGTTGACTTCTTGGCATCTTCAGCATCGTTATTCCTATCAACAGAAATTACCAACGGAATTCAGTCTGACGAAAGAATTCAGAGAGGAACAACAAAAGTCTTGGAGAGAATACCTGTGCTATGTAAAAAAGGGGACAGCCAACAACACCAACACGATCAATTTATAGTGAAAGACATTTTTAAAGAAAAAGAAGATAGTACATTAGAGAGTTGTTTGTCTATCACACAATCGCTTGAGTTCGTTCGAACAATACCTACACTAGTAAGATCGTCTTTTAATCCAAGCGATCATTATAACTTACGTTCCCGTTGCAGACCGTCTGGTCATAACAAAAGCAATTGTATTATTATTCCAAGAGTATCCTTTAAACGTTGTGGATCACCAAATGTATTTGTACCATCCATAATGTTGTCTAATATCATTTCGCTAGCAGGCATTCTTAAACACATCAAATGTAAATGTCTAACAGGCTGTAAGACAAATCACTACAGTTGCTTAAAATCTGGTCTTCCGTGCACTGGTTTGTGTGTTGCACAGGCTGTCATAATTGTCAGCTAAAAGAACATGATCTTCAGGAAACTAATGACCCGTTTTCTGATTTCACTTTTTCTGAAGGCGATCAAGAAACTAGCTACGATTTTTTCAGGACGAATGCTAGTTTTTGTCGTGAAACGTGATTTTTGATCAAAGTTTATTTAAAGGGAGTACTTAAGACTTCTTTGCCTGGAAACATTTGACTGTTGAAAAAAGGTTCAAGTTCATTGGTCAAGTCGGAATTTATGTTAGGGAAGCACTTTCTCCTATGTTTACTACTACTACATGTTATAAAATATAGGCGAAATGCTAAAAGTGCAAGTTTTTGTTTTATTGACTAGAAACAAACAAATAAACTCTCATGCTAAACAAAGAAAATGCGTAATAACCATGGTAAAAAAACTGGAACTAGTACATATGAATATTATAACATGAAGCTTTCTTAAGGCAAAATGGCGGATTTAGATTTCTACAGAGTTCCGGATTTTCGATTGCAAAATACAAAAAAAAAACTGCTGGTTTGTGCCAGTAACAAGTGCATTCGCATTCAGCGTATAAAAATCTACAGAAATATGTAAAAAAGAATTTAGTGCCAGAGTGGGGGCAACAAAATTCTGTTTCTTCATGTACAGACTACGGATTATTAGGGCTTTTTGTGCATCCAACAATGCGCCTAAAAAATTAGAACTGAGTAAAGCGCGGCCACCAAAAGCGCGGGCACGTAGGCGGGCGCCCCTTCTGCCATATGGTTAATCCTGCCCTGTCTGAGTCAGACTCATCAGTTTATTTAACGGCCCTGAGGACAATAACATTGGTTATATACATTTCTAAGGAGTAAAATTTAATCAATCAGTTGTCTGCTGTAGTTATTTTTGCCTACAACAAACTGTGGGTTATTGAAAACATAACTTCTACATTAGTACTAATTCATTCAACTTTGATTTTTACAACTACAGAGCGCAGAAACACCACAAAGACATACTCCTCGTCCCGTGTAAGCATGTCAAGTCTAAAAAACTTGGATAATTTATTCTGTGGTTTTTGTGATGAAAAGTTCACGTCTATGGATCAGTTAAAGCATCATTACTCTGTGAGAAGTCACAAAAAGAATGTGTTGAAGAAAACACGGCAGAAAAATGCGATTTCAGTTACAAAATTTCGCCCACCTCCTTATGACGTTGTCATGGGTCGATATAAGCTCTGCAAAAGGTTTGAGATTGAGATTGCAATTGATTATTATTTTGTCTAAATTTTCCAGCATCATACTTATGATTGTGAAAATCCGTTCTTAATATGTTATAATGCAGAGAATAAAACTTTCGTGATAATAGTCAACAACTCTATCTGCATGTTAAGCTGTCAAACCAATGGTGTGTTTAAGCGCATGCTGCTGTGACGTAACCAGAATTTACCCAACTAAATCTTGGAGGACTAAATGAGTGCTTAACTATAATAGTAGAGTGTATTCGTAATTGAATTTTTTGCAGATTAGCACAAAATGCCACGTTTTTGCCTAGTTTCGAACTGCGGTAATAAAAACTCAAAACGTAAGTATTACTTTTGTAAGTGAAGCTTGGGGAAGAAGAACTTGTTACAAATATTTAACTGGGAACTGTGGCCTTTTAAGTAAACTTTTGCCAGGTCATATGGTTCTTGGAAATATGGATTTTACCATTCACGAATCTGTATGTCTGCAACAGGCAATATCGAATATTCCGGCATTCACAAAAGCAAAGGACCAGCTAGATCCTGTAGCTGTGGAACAAACACGTAAAATTGCTAGAGTAAGAATTCATGTAGAAAGAGTTATAGGCTTCTACAGAAATATCGATTCCTTCAACGAACTCTGCCAGCTGATTACCTTACTTGTAAGAATGGTGAAACTGTCCCCCTTAATATCCGAATGATAAGAGTATGCTCAGCACTAGTGAAACTTTGCCCTTCTACAGTATTATTTGATTAAACGTTTACATTATAATATCAATGTTGTTTAAATAAAATTAACATAACATAACAGTAACATAATTCTATTAGCTGTATACAATTAAAGTTTCATAAACAATCAACATTTTTTGTTGGCCATTCAAACTTAGCAAACATCAAAACTAAAAAATAAATTTATATGCTTGGATAAGCTAATTTAGACGATTTGTCTGCCAATTTAAACACAATCTGCCGTTAGCCAGGAACTTCTTAATAAAAACCACCAAAGGGTTATCAATGCTAAATCATATTTAGAAAAATAAAAAATTGTTCTTTATATTTTAATTTTTTTCTGCTATTTTGAAAAGGTTTAATATAACCTGCCTTTGACAGGTGTGACCTCATTTTGGCTATATTAAACTGTGGAATGTTTTCATTGGGTGAGAAAGCCAAGTGTGTTGCGAAGGCAATTGAAAAAACACCACAATCGGACCATTTTTCCGCTGTTAAACTGGTGGAATGCATAACTGAAAATTTTCACCGACTAAATTATACATTTGTTGTTCGAGATCCTCAAGAATAACTTAATTATAGAGACTGTCATATAATATTACTATGCCTTTCGTGAACTGACCTTTATTACACTTTGTGAAACGATGTTTCCTTGATTTGCCGTTATATTGGATATACTGGTCTTCCAAAATGGCGGCACATATCGTTTTGTGGTCTTATGACGTCATTCTAAAACACACTAAGACTGTGACAAGTGAAATGGTAAACTGGCTTCGAAAAAAAGTTCTTCAGCATCAACAGTTGCTTGAGAGTTGATTTTTGTTTTACTTATAATATACCAAGAAGAATTTCAAACCATGGTGTTACTAAAATTTTATTCATTATTAAAGTCAATTTTTTTCACATTTTACCATTTTTTGTCAAAGATAAAAAAGGTCTTTCAAACAAAAAATTCAAGAATATCATAAAAATTGTGTTTTCTAACTGTACAAATGTCCTAATAGTCATTTAAGTTTTTTCTTAAGACAGCTTGAAAGTACGATTAAAAAACGTATTAAAGAATTCTTTAATTTCAATTTTAAAGCAATGTTTCTGTTTTAAAGGTTTCAGCAAGGGTATTGTTTTTATGGAAATAAATGTACCTTTGCTCATGGTGAAGGTGAGAGGACATTTTGGACCGAATTACATAATCGTCAGACAAAACGCTTGACAAAGCTGAGAGAAGAACGTGTGCTTACTGAAGGCTTAAGCGAGAGAGTTTGGAGGATGATTGGGAGAAAAGGGGAACAACACGTGGTAAGTGGTATTTAGCAGCTTTCAAGGTCTTTGCATTCTTCAAGAGGTGTACAAAGCAATGTTAATCCCAACAAACTGTAAGTATTCATTCCTGTTGAATATGACCACGAGCGATGCTCTTTTACGGAATACAAATTATTTTAAATTAAACTCTGTCTTAATGGCTAATGAATTTTTTTTACTTTCCTTAAAATTTCTGACAGCTTTATGCATACTGTAGAAGCACAAATAATTTTAGGAAGATATTTGTGATGCGGTGAGAATAATCTTCGCCATTCTGTTTTTTTTCAGTTTGCGTTGTTAATTTCAGTTTGTGTTGTTAATAATTTCAGTTTGTTTGTTTTATGATCACACATTTGATTAATGTTACGATCACAAACCCATACATTCTTCTAAATAGATTAGTGCAAAAAAGTAAAGAAACAACATTTTAGTTAATATGGTCATTTATAGGATAGTTCTTGGTAAAGTGCAAAGCTTATTTCTCTAAAATTTCAGCTAAAAGACAATCTTCCTGGTATAACAGTCACGTGTAAGTCGCCATGGCAACTGCAGCTTAGCAGAGCTGATAAGTCTGCGCCAAATGATTACATCTGGGTTATCGATGTCGAAATTCAGGTTCGAGAAAATTAAAGAGCGAAAATGTTGTTAGTAAAGTAGGATTATGATCTAATTATTTTTTTCTATTTTGTGTTGTAGAAAGAGTCTGGGTTTTTACTGAAGGAGGTTTCGTTTTTGCATGAATTTCATCTCAATCGATTTAAATTCCTTGACAACCCCGGTGCTGTTTCTAACCCCTCTTCAACTCCCCACAGTTTGAGTTTTTCTGTCGACAACAACCTAATTGAAAGTTCATCGAAGGAAACATTCGCCACTCGTTTCAGTGTTTATTTCTTATCGGACGTCTTTGGTGTTTTTAAACAAAAGCTAATCTTTGATTTTGGCAAAGAGTGTTTATTATGTCGTCAGCTCTCTGTATCTGTTGTCAGCAAGGAAATTTCTCCGAGTGAAGAAATGCTAGTGAAGCGATGTCGTATTGTGGACTGGTCTCTTCACAACGTTGAAGTGGTGAAGTGTGATGATCTGCTTCACCTGGATGAAGAGGGTTTGTGTGACTTGTATCCAATTCCTGATGTTCATCCAGCTCCATCAGAAATACCTGAGTTCACATCAAAAACATACTGTGAAAATTGGCATAACATTCTTTATACTGAGGAGAAGTATATCAATGCAGAAATTGCAAGGTTATTTATTTTTTAGTTTATTAACTTTACAGAAGTGCGTTAAACAAAAATTAATTGATAATTTTTGCAAAAAATTATATGGGTGCAATATGAAGACAATTGCACGAAAGGGATTTTTTCGGTTATTGATACATTTGACGTAAGTGGAATGAACATTTATTCATTGGCGAAGAAAATGTTACCTGCACAAAGTCACAAATCTGAATTGTGAGATCATGAGAAGTTGCGCTTAACCGCACAATCAACGACTGCTTCATTAATAGTCAGTATAAATAAAAAGTAAGATAATTCAGAAAGTGAACGAGTTGTAAGTGCCAACTTTTTTTGGAGTTAATTATAAACTATTTTGGTATCGTCTGCTCTGTTTAGAGGAATTGTTATACTAAGCTCATTTTCAAATTAGTGTTTCAAAATAAGTTCTAATGTAGTTCAACTGTTTTCACAACACCTTTTTAATTTCCACTCTCTATTTAATTTTTCAACTCCCTACTGTTGACGGTTGAACTCTTTTTTTAGTCGTCATTTTAATCTGTTTACATTTATACAATTTGTAAATTTTAGTTTACGAAAATCATGCATGCAAAAACTAACACTCACTAATTAATGGAAGGAAAATCGCATCCTTTGAGACAATGCTTTTTAAAATAAATGTCATACAAATAACATAGTATAGCAGTTGACAGCTCTTACACTTTACATTTATATACATAGCAACATTGCTAAAAAGTGATAATTATCATTAGCACCAGCATGCTTTTTCCCATATAATACAATTATTCAATTTTCATTGTACAAATTAAGTCTTGAAAACATTATTGAAAAATGATAGGCACCTACAGCTAACTTTAATATTCTTTTTTAGGCATGATGTTTTAAACGGAGAGCTCAAGATTGTTAATTGTTTTACAACATTCGAGGAAACGATATTTGCTGTGAAAGGCGAGTTTTTTGGAGAGATTATGTTGTCACAATTTTTAGTAATGGACGAAATTTCTGGGCATCTGATCAGCCGTTCAGTTGAGTCGCTAATTGTCCGACCCGCACACAAAACCTCGCGTGTTTACGAGTGTTGCATCAAAACTAAAAACCCGCAATCTGTTATCATTAAATTGAACAAGGTGTTTTGTGAAGATTATAGTGTGGAGTATGACCAGGTCATGAATGTTGATATCAAGTTTATTTTTAATCGTCGTGGTATGTGTGAAATGCATCAAGCCATTGATTTTTGTAAAGAAAAAATGAATTTCCTAATACCAGATTTCTCCTATGATTCACGAGAATACAAGGTTTGTTTCTATTCAGCCAAAAAGATTACCCGTAAAAACTGAATTTATTAAGTAACCTACAACCTTCGCACAATTTAGTGCACTGTATATTTTTAGTACTCAGAGCATAGTGTTCAACTTGAATAATCTTAACTTCATGCGCTTTTTTTTTGAAGTAACATGCTGACAGAGTTAAACTTCTACTAGAAAGTAACTCTACAATTTCAACTTTGAATATAAAAGCGATATGATTCCATTTATATACTTTTTTCAATTCCCTTAACATAAAATAAAGTATGGCGTTATAAATTGCTAAGTATGGCTTTATAAATTACTAAAATTATTCAGAATTTCGTTGTTACATCCTTATGTCAAAAATAGAAACGCAATGCGATGTTTTAAGTTGTGTTAGATTTAGATACTGCCACTAGAATAACACAGGAATGAAAACTGTTAAGCTTTAGAAAATTGCATTAATAAGTCTTTTTATAATTGCATTTCTTAGTTAAAAAAGTAAATGCTTTTTCTCCTTAACGTTGCTTTTGAACGAATGACGTCTGCATAACAAATAATTCTACTTGGACTATTTCCTCGCACCAAAATGGTCAAAGTAATTTTAAAGTATTCGAAAAAATAGATTTGATGAAACAATTAATTACTCAGAAAAACTGACATATGATATATTGCTTATCTCTAAACATCGGATCTGTCAAGCTGCAGGTGCCAAGTGGAGTTAGACATGACTATTAAATCAATCGTGTTTTAGCTTGAATAAAGTTTTTATCTCTATGATAATGGCAGGGTATTAATTAACATTTTTTTCGCACATTCATCAATAACTAGGTTTCTTTCTAACCTATGCAACTTTATAATAGTTTTTTTTTCTAAGGGATTTATTCCTGATTGGTTTATGGTGAAAAAGCCAAACCTCAATCAACGCGAAGCAATTTCCATGATCCTTGATCCAAGCCCTACTCCACCAATAATCATATGCGGCCCATTTGGCACTGGAAAGACATTCACTTTAAGCTTAGCCTGCATGTCCATTCTCAGTCAAGCGAGTTACAAAAAAGTTTTAATTTGCACTCATACTAACAGTGCCGCTGACATTCATCTGGACTATTTGGACGAGAAGATAAAAAGCAATTCGTCTTTAAAGATATATCCTTTGCGAGTTCTTACGATCTTTTTGACGAATCTTGCAAGAGTTCCTGCACGTTTTCACAAATATTGCAATATAAATGGTAATATATTTTTTCTAAATCAGCAGAGCTCATAATCTTAGCATTTTCAATTATTTAATTGGTTTGCACATAATTTTAATACGCTTTTCTCTAAATACTTTCTTTTGTTTTGTGGTGTTTTATTTGTATTCTATTTTTTCTTTTTTTCTTTTTTCCTTTCCTTTTTTTTCTTTTTTCGTTTCCTTTCTTTTCGTTTCCTTTCTTTTCTTTTCCTTTCCTTTCCTTTCCTTTCCTATCCATTCCTTTCCATTCCTTTCCTTTCCTTTCCTTTCCTTTCCTTTCCTTTCCTTTTCTTACTTTTTCCTTTCCTTTCCTTTATTTTCTTTTCTTTCTTTTCTTTTCGTTTTGTTTTGTTTTGTTTTTTTTTCTGTTCTGTTCGGTTCTGTTTTGTTTTGTTTAGTGAAGATTTCAATTGTAATGCTTGATTTTTTAACTAAGGCGAAGAAATTGACGAATATTTATCTTTAGAAATTTTTAAAAAACTGTACATTTTTATAGATAATTGAAAGTTGAACAGCTAGTATTTAATTTGAATAACACTGGATTGAGCACTGTGGGAATGTTTTTAACACGTGTTTGGTAAAATTGAATGGCAACTGAAAAGTTTTGAACAGTATTCTACAATTATTTTTCATTGATATAAGTTAGGAAGCAGAAGCTCCACCAATTTTCTGACGTTTTCGTCACTAAAATTTTCATAAATTGTGTGTTTAGAGGGTCATATGACGGGTGTTTGATACACTAAGTTATTTGATTAGCAAGGGAATTCTTTTAGTAGGTGAATTATTTTAGCAGTTGTAATCTCTATAAATTATTGAAGAAACTTCCAGTGCTGACTGGCATTGGCGGGGAGTCGAATGCTTTACTTGTTTAATAAAGTTATCAATAATATTTTTAATAAAAACGGCCAGTTTTTTTAAAATAAACATTTTTCAACATTTCATGATGCCATCTTCAGTATTATAAGGAATAACATGTATCTGATGAATATATATGAGTAATATGATACTGTGATACAATTTATACATTTATGAATAGATAAATATATTACAATAATATAATGGTTAGAATTAATGATGGAAGTATTTACAGGCTAAATGTAGGATTAAAGTGAAAAACGTGAACATTGAGATTAGGGTTAGTTTTGTTCATGTGAAGTGCTTCTTTGATATTGAGTGCAAATGTGGTATCTGTAGTGTCGATGATTTTAAAGCAAGAGGGTGAATAGTTTTGCATGAAGGTGATTTTAAAAGGTGTCGAAAGATTTGTGAGTTTTTGTCAGTTTTGGTGTGTTCCCTGATTCTGGTGGATAAGTGACGGGAAGTTTTGCCAATGTATTGGGAATTGCATCCCGCACAATCAAATCGGTATACCACCATAGATTTAATAGAATCAGGGATAGAATCTTTGAATGGGAAGTAGTTTTTGATTTTGAAGGAAGTGAAAATTAGTCGAATGTTAATGTCAGTGTAGAAGCGTTTGATGATGTTTGCAAGTCTGCGTTGTGTGTGTCATGGATGATATCCGATCTACGGTAGTTTAAAGTAAATTGTACATCTGACAACAGACAAAAACTCACATATCTTTCGACACCTTTTAAAATCACCTTTATGCAAAACCAACTATTCATCCTCAATCTTCGACACTGCTAATACTACAATCGCGCTCAAATCAAAGAAGCACTTCACATTAACAAAACTAACCCTAATCTCAACGTTGATGTTTTTCGTTTTAACACTATATTCAGCCTGTAAATACTTTCATCATTAATTCTAACCACTATTTCATTGTAATATAATAATTTATTCATAAGTGCATAAATTGTACAGCAGTATCATATTACTCTTATATATATTCATCACATACATAATTCTCCTTAAAATACTGAAGATTGCATCATGAGATGTTGAAACATGATTATTTTAATAAAACTTGTCGTTTTTATTAAATACGCATTATCAATAGTGCTTTTACGCAGCTACAATACTACTTTTGTTGTTTTAAATCATTTGTTTGACCTTTCTATGAAATTACGAGTTTGTCTTTGCAGTGAAAACTAAAGAAGTCAGACTCCCAACTTTAAAAGATCTACATTCAAAAAATGTTATCATTACGACAATGGTCAATGCTCACACATTATGGAAATATTATCAAGATAAACAAGTTGCTTTTACTCACATACTGATTGACGAGGCTGCGCAGGTTCTGGAGCCTGAATGCTTGATGCCCATTGTTATGGCAGATCGAAATACAAAAGTCATTCTTGCGGGAGATCACTTTCAGGTAGAAAACATTCAGTCTTGCGTTTTGTTATTGTTAAAACTGTTACAACTAATTTGTCAATGAGGGCAAAGGAAGACGTTTTAAATACTTGAGTGAGTACGCACGTATGTTCATGGTACTAATGCAATACTTTTACAGATGGGTCCACAAGCCTATTCAAAGCTTCAGTGGCCAACGGCGTTTGGTCCTCATATATCGCTTCTGGATAGATTATTTTTTCACTACAAAAAAGGTTCTTTGCATCTGACACAGAAAATTAGCAAAAAGACACCAAAAGACGACGAATGTGACAGCATTGAATCTGGTTACATTAATATTAGTTATAACAGTAACAATGATGACGATGCAGTGCCGTTCTCAACATTTCTTACTGAAAACTATCGTTGCCACGCCAATATCCTTCGATTTCCATCAGAAAATTTTTATGGAGGGAAACTAATTCCTAGAGGTGATCAGTCTCAACATGACACTTTCCCTGCTCTTACGTTCTATGCCGCTCAAGGTATAGATTTTTGGGTTGAAGAAAAATTAGGATACTACAATGATGCTGAGGTAGCAGAGTTAGTGACAAGAGTAGAAGAATTGGCTTTACATTGGCCTGAACATTGGAAAATGGATATTGGTGTCATCACTCCTTATAAGGCACAGGTAGTTTACAAAGTAGTTTGATCAGTGATAATGCACATAGGATGAGTTTGAGTTAACACATTTAAATGTACTGACATAAACAATTGCACAAAGACCTAAATTATTGATTCAGTAAGACCAAACTGACAACTGCTTCAAATTTTTTTTGCATATACTTGCAAATGGACATAGCTTTTTTTGATACATTGGTACATGATTATAAAAAAAAAATGGTCCTAATTTGTTAAATGATTGATGTTTACAACGGTATCAAAGTTTAAGCCTAACGTTGGTGGACTGCTTTCATCGCAGGCTCCATATTATTAAGAAATTCCACAATACTTACGCCATCTGACGTTGTTTTCGTTTTATTTGTCAATATCTATTTACTGTCATGTACACTATGGCGTTCAGCTGTCCATATAAAAAGCATTGCTTAGACAGTAGTTCCTAGGGAATCATTATAAAAAGTGTTTGTTTTTTGTAATTTAATTAAGCATGCAAAGTAAATTATGGTTTCTCATGTTGTTGGGTAAAGTTAAAACATTATTTGTGAAAAATCCAACTCGTCAATTGACCTTGACTTTATCACATTTGTTCCCACTGCTAAGCTTAGTAAAACTTGTAGTTGTTTTTCTGTGTTTACTTTGCAAATGGATTTCTATAAAGTGTTTGTTTCCTTTTTTAATCTACAGTAAATAGTGCATATCTCAATGATTTTTGGTTTGATTCGCTTATTTGTTAAGTTATATATGAAGAGCGAAATCATATGGCTTGTGATTCTTGATGTATGGTTACTACAAATTTGAATGATTAAAAAATTTTGTTATTTAGGTAGATCAAATTAGAAGAATATTGCGAAAGAAACGTCTTGGATCAGTACATGTCGGAAGGATGGAAAACATGCAAGGTAATCAATAATAATTTAAATCAACTGATTGCCAAAAAATCACATTATATTGTATGATGTATTTGCCATGTGATAAAGATTGAACACTCCCAAATATATAAGGAGAATTAATACTATAGAAGATTTTATCTTCCATAATAATTACTTTTTGTCAGATTTTGCATGCATAAACTGGGTACATTTTGTTTCAAGTAATACCATATAGTGTTTTTCAAATTCACCCTTACTTTATATCTTGAACGTTGTCACATTTTCAGGTTTTTGTTTTTTTGTTGCGAATGTTTTTGTGGTGGATTCATATTTCTTTGTATCACTGCCGTTTACATGGTGTTGCAGTTGACTTTTTGTTGTTTTTTTTGGTCGTTATAGTTATCGTGATTGTGATTCGTTAACTTGTTGATTGTCTTTCTCGTTTTTGAAGATAAAAAAGTTGTCATGATCGTTTTATACTCTACAGTTTTAATTGCGGTTTTTGCTATTTCTACGATGGGCTTTAGGGTTTTGCTTGTGGTGGAAGCGATGGATGGAGATATGTTTGTTGGCTGTAGTTCCAATCGTGGTTCTGCTCATTGTCTTGTTTGTTACTAAATTTCCTCATTCCTACCATATTTTGTACAATCATTATTTTTTCATGGTTTTTATAGCTTTAAAGGCATTGTAGTTCTTCTCAAACATATTTTATTCTTTCTCTTTTCGAATTCTGCAAATTCTTTTTTATAGCTACTATTCACTCTCTTGTAGATTGTTTTTTAAACTTCTTTCACTTGTTTTTTCTTTAGCATTAGCTCAAAGTATATCTTATATCTGCAGTTTTATTTACTTTTAGGTAAAGAATTCAGAGCTTTATTCATAAGCACGGTCAGGACACAGCATACATGCAAAGAAATTCTGGGTAGAAACAGCTCATCTCAACTAGATTTCCAATTTCTTTCCGATGCCAAGCTGTTAACTACCGCTGTTACTCGTGCTCAGTCTTTGCTTTCTGTTGTTGGAGATCCTATGTCGCTTTGTAGTGTAGGAGACTGTCGCTTGTTGTGGAAAGATTATTTAAAACGTTGCGAAGAAAATGGTGGGTTGCATGGATGTACAATAAAGGATGTCCTAGACTTTTGTCTACGATCACAGGTTGTTGATCCAAACGCTCTTGAGTTCACTCCAAAACCTCAAAGCAATGAAAATGAACAGGGTAAATTTTTGATTTATTTGTTCAAGTTATTATTTCTTGTTTATTTTTGTTGTAATGTAAATTTAATGCATACATTTATGAAAATACGATAACCTTAAAAACACAAAAAAGTTTCGATTTGGCAAGGAATTGTTCACACATCAACAATTTTATTGCATGCCAAAACCGTGCTAAAATAGCTAACATGTGATAGAATTGGGGGTAGAATCTTGTTGAAAATTTGAACCCTTCATTGAATTTGCACTTTTTTTCTCTTGGACATGCTCATTTTATTCTGAGATTTTTGCATATTTATCTGATATATCTGCCAAAAATTGCAGAATAAAATGAGCATCTCATCCATAATGCCACTTAAATTCTTAGAATTAAAATTCTTTATTAGCCATTGATGAACCCGATGCAAATACATACTACAGTCCGACTGACGCTTCTCATGCACTTCATGGCATAGATGATTATGATGCAATGATTGTCAGAGAACTTATTAAAGCATGTGAGAAAACAAGCAAGCAAGACGAAATTACATTGAAACAAAGTTCATTTCAACATAATTTTCCTTATCTAAAGGATGATAAGGAGCAAAAAATTAGCAAAACAGCCCCTACACAACGAGTGCGCCCAAAATTCAAGCCAGCCAACAAAGAATTTTGGTGGTTCCACGTTCAACCGACCGAACAAAGGCATCGACTTACAGCTGGCGCACCATCTGTTTTGGAGAAAATTTTCGCAACTAAGCATAACACTGGTAAGCCATTACCATCAACATGATTGTTATTATCATTGCCATTGTCGTCTTTTCTGTCATTGTGTTCTTATTTTGTCAATATTTTTCTCATTATTATTGTCTGAGAAGGTAGAAGTTGACAAACACATCACATTTCAAGTAACTCTTAAATTTCCGGTGTTAAATTTCCGGGAAAAATGCAAATTGAATTTTATGAGACTGGAATAACTGCAAATAATAATCGTTAAGTTTTTTAAATTTGTTCGGCGTTGCTCATCACAGAGGCACAAATCGTTTCTTTATTAATGAATTTCTTTTTTCCCCGGTGCTAGAATTCGCTGTGGAACAGACAAATTACGGGACGGTAAATTGAATTATGTCCCCTGCTTATCAAAACAAAGCCTATTGACTCGTCTTTAGAAATGGGAAAAAATGCTGCTCAGGTGTTAAATTTATTTGCTCTTTTAGCTTTAAGCAAACTTTACCAACAAGAGATATTACTACAAAATGAAATGACCTATGCTTCTTCATGATTATGTCTGAATGTATGTTCTTAAATTGAAAATTTGGATTTCCTAAATCTAAGTGTACATTTTGTCGGAGACAGCATTTTCAACTAGTTTTTCACTGACAAGATATGACCACCAGAGTTTGCTAAAGGAGTTTTCATAAACGTGCAAAACAAATACTTAAGCGGTGTTTGCCTCATAAAACATGTAGAAGAGGTTTGTCACTTTGAAGGCCGTTACGTTGGGAAAATATTTAAAGCAAGTGCATCGGAAAATTAATATCGAAGGGGGTGATAATCAAATACAAACGTCTTAAATGCTGTATTATTTTTACTGAAATCGATCTTGATGACGATACTATAATATATGTACATAGCGTTCCCAATTGTCAATCTTCCTAGCAAAGTATTTCGCCCTAAAAAAATGTAATACTGTGAAAAGTGCTGTCGTTATGTTAGCGATAAAACTTCGACGCAAAATTTCCCGAGATTTTTTGATAATGTTTTCGTCAAATATTATCTACGAAATTATCTGGATGAAGCTGGATGTCAGAGTAATGAAGTTTTTATAAATTTAATCAATTGAAGAGCTTCTCGGTAAGGGTTTTCAAAAAGGCACGCAGAGCTCAGAGATACCTGAATATTAGTAACAAATTTGATTTATTACAAGTTTTTGCACATCCAAAAAAGGTTTTTTTGCTCATCAGGACATATTATTTTCTCGGGTTCATGTCCCCGTTTTGCACGTCATGAGCCGCTTTTTTTGTATTGTGTGGCATTATTTTTGCTTATGAGTATAGCATCGATTGATGTTTAATAAGATAAATTTTCCACTTTTTGTATATACCTTAAAATTATGTCTACATGTAAAAAGCAACATAAACATCATTATCATAATAATAATTTTTGTCGTATAACTTGGCGATAGAAATTTTTAAAGTAATATAAATTTTGCCAAAGATAACTGCTTCTCTTCGACATTATTTTAGATGAATGCAATATAGAAACCTTAAAGTCTGATGTAAACAACAAACCACACAAATACAAGAAAGTTAGGATTCAGGTCGAGCTTCGGCAGAATCAAAGGTTCTATTACGGCCGATTTCCAACCCCAGACAGTCCTGACATCGTCATACCTGGACAAGTCCGGGGTATTTTTGAAGATGACCTCGTTGTAATAAAAATCAAACGTAAAAGATTGGACGACTATAGCAAATACTTTGGAAGTATAAGAGGTATGCATTATGTTTTGTTGACTTTCTCCATCCATTTTGGAAAGGTTACTTTTTATCAATTCGTGAAATGCTTATTGTGCAGTGTTTATAGTTTGGTGATGTGTCATACTTTTTGGTATCGCAATTACCTCAATGCATGGTTGTTGCTGAAAAATTTTTTTGGCATTAACAGTTAAACTAACGGCTGTTATTAGAGAGACTAGAAAAATAGTGTCCATGGATCAGAAGTCAAAGTGGAGTCATTATCGTTCTATGCATATTTTGTTTTTCTTCTTACACTTGCGTCTTTTTCAATTAATTTTTTTAATATCAATGTACATATCACAAAAATGACAGCAAAAGTGCTGAGATCTTACTTAAAACAATTGAATAGCAAATTACCCCTTTTTTCCATATTTTCATACAAAATTATGTTTTCGTGGTTATTGTAAGCTTTGTTATAAAAAACCACCCAATTATAAAGATGCTGCTCTTTGTTCATATGATTCTTTAAGTTTTTTAACACATTGACAAAACTGTTCATAGTTGGCACCATTGAATTTTATATATTTCATTTCATTGGAATCCTTCAGTAAGTATTTAGAAATTTAGCCAGTGATTCGCAATGTAGAAAACTTGTTTAAAATATAAGACCTTATCATAATTTTGACTTTGTTAAAACAACAAAAAAAGACTTCTTTAGAATTCTGTAATTAGTATTCATATATATGTTGAAAACCTGTATAACTAGCATTTTCATCCCTAGGAATACTTAGAAGACCCGTCAAACCAGATGAACGACGATATGTTTGCAAGGTTGACCGTGCCAACAAGAAAATAATGACACCGATAAATAAGTTTATGCCAAAGATTGTGAACCATATTCCTCATACTGAGTTTAGCGAAAATTCGATCGTAATCCAAAACAGCGGAGGTGGCACATCGATACTGCAAAATAATGAACTTGCCGAAGCCATAGCTGGCCAACGTGTTATTGTTATGAAATACTCAGAATGGCTGGAGAATCTCCCATATCCTCGTGGTTATGCGGTACGGCATATTTCTAATCGTAGCGATTGCACCGATCAAATTAATGTTCTTTGTGAAGAGTACAACATCGCGATAGACTTTGGCAGAGAACTTGATCATATTCCTCATCAGTTTAATGAAAACTGGCAGATTCCTCAAAGCGAATTAAGTCGACAAGCCTACCGCGATCATGTTTTTACTATTGATCCCCCTGAATCAACTGATCTTGATGATGCAATCAGTATTCGACAGCTTTGCACTAACAACTTTCTACTACAAGTACATATTGCTGACGTTGCTTATTTCGTTCAATCCGACACGCCTTTGGACAACGTAGCAAGATCACGCGGCGTTACGTATTATGCCAAAAACTTAGGAAAGGTATTTCCCATGCTGCCTCGTGAGCTTTCCGAAAGATGCTGCAGTTTGCTAGAAGGTAAAGACCGTCTTACAATAACACTCAGTATTGAAGTGACGCGCGATGGGGACGTTGTTGGTGAGGCAAAAATAGAAAGAAGTATTGTGCAATCTACACGACAATTGACTTATCTTGACGCCCAACGTATTATTGAGGAAGAAGCTGCAGTTGACCGAGCAATTGATGGACAGGTATGCCATAGCTACCTATCTTAATTAATGTGCATTTTTTTATTATCTAGAATCTTCTTCCATCATACATAAAAAGGAACCTTGACGTATCAAAGGATTCATAAATTTAATCTGTAATAGTGACCAAAAAAATGTGCGGCATATATTCATAGTTTATCGTTTTTTATGTTAATCTATTTTAATCCATAATCACTATTTATTTTAATACAAACTATGATAATGTAGGCCAAGTATAAATATGAATACGCACTCTACTTCCCATACATTATACTGATTTTCTGCAGTCTATCTACAAGCAATGGCGCCGGCATTTTTTTTGGTGCGGCAAGAAACTCTTAAATTGTCACGTACATATTTTACCTGTCGTTTTATGCTGACTGACAATTTAAGTTACAGATATGAAGCAAAATATTACGATTAATATGAAAAATGTTTCAAAGCATAAAAGTTCAAAAAGGACATAAACCTCATAAAAAAAGAACGACGTGTGGTCAGTATCTATTTTTCACTTTTAGGAAAGGCAGCTGACTGTGGAAGAAGCGATATCAGTTGGACATTCATTTGCCCAAGCGCATCGAAGATTGCGTCTAGGATTTCAATCATTATTTTACGAGAAAAGAGGTTATGATTCGTGTGGGGACAACCGTCCAAACGAAAAAGAAGCACATCAGTTGATCGAAGAAATAATGATAATGGCAAATTACTATGTAGCGAAATATTTGCTTGAGAAATTTCCCGACACGACCCCACTTCGTGTTCAGCCACCGCCAAAAAATAATGAGGAGATGGAGTGGAATGAGCGCTTTCAACAAATAATGGGTGTTTTTTCTACGCAAGAAGACTTTTTGAGAACCCACAACCTGGACGAAGAGAAAACGGGCTTCACAGTGCCTTGCAAAGCATGGAATTCATTGATACAAAGAGGTAAAGAACGAGCTAGTTTTCAAGAATTGACAAGGATTCTTTGCGATTTGGACCACTTCCCCCATTTGGCGTTGGCTTCTATGCGACGAAGAAAAATCCAGCAAAAAAGCAGCTATATTTGTTCTGGGGAAAACTTTGACTACATTCCTTACCCATGGCCAAACGCAAGCAACTTGTCAAGTAGAACGCCTGATGCAAAAAATAGTGTAAATGATGCCCGTCAACAGGAAACCTTGCAAAAAATTTTGTTCGGCCACCACGATCTAAGCCTTGACTCTTACTGTCATTTTACTTCACCCATTCGCCGTTACATTGACGTTATTGCCCATCGTTTAGTCATTGCCGCCTTGGAGAGTAGGAATGCTGTTATAAACTTTGATCATATCACTGAAATTTGTGAACATTGCACGTACGTGCAACGAAACTCGAGCAAGTTTGAGAAACACACAAAAAAACTTCAACTGGCCATCGATTTGAAGACATGCTCTGGGAAGTTTTTTGTTGCTTATGTTGACAAAATGACCTTAGAAAACCTAAACGTATTCTTTGGCTCTAACATTGCTGATCTGCTTCCCAATTATTCCATTTCTGATAGCCATCTTGGTCTTGATACTGATCCTGAAAAAGATGAAATCAAGAATTCTATCAAACTTCAGTGGAAGCTCCGTTTGATACATTTTGACAATCGATCACAGCCAAGGGTGAATGACGAAGATATCGAGGTATCAAAGGATCTGTTGAATAAATTGAATTATCAATCTCAAGGTTAGTTTGAGGAATATCAAAAGTTTATTAAGATAATAATGTTTTCTAAAATGAGTCATGACGACTTGGAGGATAACTGTGTGAGGAAGAATTATTAAAAATTATGTATAATATTAAGGCTGTTCCCTTTTCCGTCAAATATTTGTCAGCTATATAGCGAAAACGTCTGCATGAAATACATGTTCAACCATTCTATGTTTAAAATGCTTTAAGATAGCGTATAATGTTTTATTGCATTGCATTTTAGCAAGTTAATATAGTACCAAATTTTATTGCGCTTTGTACATTTTTACTCTCACCATACAAGACATGCTCATGCAGTTCAGCTATTTCAGTTATTCTTTATCATCAATATCATATCTATAATATATCGATTGACGATTGTTACTTCCATTTATTGCTTTTGATGTTTGCGAGCTAAGAAAGTTTTCTTGATAGTATCAAATAACGCTGCTTACACCACCAAGGATTTCTGAGTACACAAATTTTGTTATTCCTCTCCTTGTAATTACAGAAAACACAGTCACAAGTAATTATTTTTTTTAAAAGTCTATCGAGAACTCAGCAAATTTTTTTACTTTAAGAAATATCAATGGAGTCGGAAAACGATTGCCATTATTGGATGGAAATGAAAGACTGGAATAGAATAATGAATGCTTTGAAGCTTTCAAATTTGAAAAACATGCGTGATGTTTTACAAGAAGTAGATGCGAATGTCAAAAGTGAAAGGTAAAGAATATTGAATATGGGGTTGGAGAAGGGAAACGAAGGTGGAAACGGAAAAGGAGAAATTGTACAGGAATATAAAAAGTTTAGGAAAACAACAAATCTTTAAAAATTAATCTTAGAAGAAAGATACAAATTTGAAATGTCAAGGCAAAATAAGAGCATTTAACACAATTTCTACAGTCCATCATAAAACTTAAAAAAATAAGCATTTTTAGAGCAATTTTGCGGAATAAGCCAACAATAAGAAGCCACGGCGAAGTCATAAAACTAAAACCAACCTCAACAATTATTGCCTGTTGGCATAATTGTTGGCTTTTATGATTTAACTTAATATGTTGCAACAAAAATCTTAACACACTATACACAATGGTGCATACTTCTTAAATTGAAGATGTATTCAAAAAGAAACAAAACTTGATTTTGAAACACATAAAGTCCGCTTTTATTGCTCACATTATTTTTCTTCTTTCTATTTCCACTTCTCAGCTACTAGTTCCCCTTTATTGCTATAGTCAAATTTAGCTCTCGTTCTTTAGAGTTGTTAAAGACTCTTTAAACAAGGTTATCTGGAAGTTTATGGAAAACGCAAACTTGAAACCTCTAAATAGCCGTCGTGCCAATCAAACTGAACTTGAGTCTACGGATCAAGTAATACAAGTGACACATACTTTATCCCAGCTCAACCCAGTTACTGTTCAGTTATGCTCGCATATGTCACGTGGTGTTCTTGCTCCAATTGTTCAACTGTACAAGATAACTGACAGATTTTACGCATGCGTAGAACATCGAAAATCACCTACCACCTGTTTCTCTTTTACTGCACACAAACAACCATCTGATTCCGCATGCTCCTCAATCAAAGAATACGTAGCTTTATGGAAACCAATTCTTAAGATGGAAATGGCTACGTCAGCTGTATCGGATGATGATGTCATTAACCTATGGAATCTTCGTGTAAATTTTGTTAAAGGTACGTCTGTTTCTGTTAAAAAATAGAAAACAGGTTTTAAACAGTTCATTGCTTGTTATCAACATTTAATGATTGGAGAAACTTCACGATAGATTTTTCAGGCATAAATTTCTACTGGTTGCCCTAATTGCATGTTTCTAATAGAAAACAATCTTTGTTTTCTCGCTTGAACTTTTTTCAATTGCTGAACATATCTAATATTGACTTTCTGTTGTTCTTCAATTGAACTATTTTTTGACAGAAGGGAATTATCTTTTTTTCCATTATAAACGACCATTTATTTAACAGTGGATTTGCTTTTGTTTTTCAAAAGCGTGACTTTTACTTAACTCAAATGGCAACCTGCTCATTTTTGTGTTTGCTTTCGTTCCTGCAAAATTAAGAAGTGATAGTAATTATGTGAATCTGAACTATTCAAAAGTTTAAAAGATTTTGTGTTACGTTTTTAGATGCAAAGGGAAGATGTTGCCTTGAATTTAATTTGCTTCGTGATTTCTGCATTAAACATTTCTTGGGCAATCTAGACTTAAATTTGATGTGTGTCCGCGTTAAGGATTCAGATAACATGAAAAAATCTGATGCTGGATATTGGGTAGGACATTTTCAGATTTTTAGAAAATGGAAAGGTAAATCAAAAGAAGATGCAGATGAGACTGGTGTAGAGACAAAAGCAATGGGACCACCTGAAGACTTCTATACTGCTAAATTAATTCAAAGTGCATTGCCTGTTCCTGAATCCTTTTTCAAACAAAAAGTTTGTTGCGTTGCTGCAGAAATGATCAAACAAAGCATTCCAAATAGGTAAGATGCAAGTTGGTATTGAAAAATGAAAAACACTAATTATAGTACAAATTGTTTTAAAAATCACAAAAACCAAAATAAATAAACAAACGATACCTTAATAGTGGTTAAGAGAGTTGTTTAAAAGAAGAACACTTACCAAATAATTCTGAAAGAATTATTTTAAAGCACTATGCATTTCTGGAAACTACTCCCTAACTGTCAACGCCAGCTAGAAAATTTCAAAATCTACCATTATCAAAATGAGAAGAAAGATTGTAAGTCATCTCCAAACGGCAGCCATTAGTTAAATTATTTAGACAGACTCCATGACGTGTAACTGAAAGATTGACAGGCGCTCTTCTTCACAATTTAAAATTTATCGCCTAAAAAAAAAATCAGCACAGTAATGTCTACTGCCTTTCTTACAATCATGTTTTGGTTGTTGTCGTGAAGGAACAGTTCTATTTTAGATAAAAGATTGTAAATACTGTTTGATTCTATCAAAAACGTAACCTTTATAACGTTCTATCTACATAGAGAAGATCACACTAACAATGCATGAACTAAAATGCTAGAGAACTGCGCCTGTAGAAATTCTTAATGGTAAAATATTTTTTACAAAAATACAAAGATGACATTACTCGAAATAAACAAACATTTTTTATTATATTAGCTTTTCTCTCGATGTCACTTTTGGCCTTACCATCCAGGGAAGTTTGACGAGTGCAGTGTACCTGGTATAAAAGACATGTCCCTTCCATTACTAGGGAGGACAAAACGGTTAAATCAGAATTTTTCCTGTCATCCATTTGAAAGAAAGATCTTTTTCAATAAATGATTTAAGAACACTTTCAATGAGCTCCTATGATGACAATCTATGCATACTATTTATCAAACACTTTACGAAAGACATCTTTTCTTTGTGTGAATAAAAAACTCAAATCGTGTGTACAAATCCTTAAGAGTTCCTTTGCAATGTATGATAGTTAGCTATAGGACGCTTGCGTTTTTGAGCAGAAACATCTAAAAAACTGGGTTCTTTCACTTGGTTTAGAGGTATAGTTTCATAAAAAGGTGAAAAGAACGAAGTTTTTGTCTTAGGAGACATTTGGGGAACTAATGTCAGCTTCCATCAAAGGTGTTCAGTTTAGTTTTAACAACACCATGTTTAAATAAATCGATGGCTGGCTGTACATAGTTTCTCAATTACACCACTCCTTGCTTCTTTATTTGTACGTTATTATTGATATAAAACGTTTGCATCTAAGTAAACTTGAAAAGTGTCAAAAGCAAACGTTGCGTGGATGATACCTTTTCTTTATTACTCAACGACAGAAATTGCCATAAGTTTTTACAAAAACCCTTAATGTGTACAAATTTCTTAAAGAAAAGTACAAATTTTTTATAAAATGGAAACAAAAGGAAATTAAAGAAAACAAATCAATGTGTGAGAAAACTAGTAAAGGGAAAACTAATCCTTCACGAAAGAATGAAGGCTTCAGTTCAAGTCAAATAGTGCTATAATGTTCCTTTTACCTTGCTTGTTCGATCATTACTCTTAGAAATATAGGGACTTCATTTATTTTGCTCAAATCTCCCCGCAAGTTACGCAGAGGCAAAGAAAATAGACTTTCAATATTTTTTATGTCCACGTATAAATAGTATTCTCAAACGTGGTCTTTATTTTTTAATATTTCATTTTGCTAGGCGTAGTTATGAAGCTCTCCTTCAGAGCGCGAAGGATACAACATCAGATCTCGTCAAAAATATTTGCACCAAGCAGAAAATCGTCAAAAACACTATCTGTAAGTACTTTTCAAATATATTCTATGGTCTGAGATGGAATGAGAAAGAACTGGTAAAGCTTGTAATTTATAGTTTTTTTAGTCAACACAGAGATTATGAATATTACCGACCAAATAAATTTAAAAGAAACGTTGTAATTTTTCCACGAATCGATTCATCATCGATTTGCAAATTAATTATCTGGTTTAAATTAATTGATAGAGCTCTGGTCTAATTTGCACACACTAATAAAAACACAGTTATAGACAAATCATAGCACGCGTTTTATTTTAACTATTTTTTCTAAAATGAATGAGATTTTTGAATTACGTAAGTTTGATTGAACATGATCATGCAGCATAAAAATTCTTAATTGCATCATTCTAAATTTAGACCGGGAACTTAAACCTGACCTAACATTAAAGGACTTTCTTTCATTGAATCGTTATCAACACAATGCAGTTGAAAAAGCTTTAAAAAAACCTTTTTCTGTCATCCAAGGACCTCCAGGTACGATATTTACTTACAACAGTAGTTTATTCCTTCGTTATTCTACTAATACAGTTAACCAAATTGTAAGAGAATTAAAGCACTCCCCAAAAGTTGTAGCAATAATTTAGTTTAAGAAATTGTAATATCTTTGACTACAGGCACAGGGAAAACAGTCGTTGGCGTCCATATTGCGTACTGGTTTGCAAGTTGCAATAAGTCAAGATTTGATGGAATTATGAAGGAACAAGATGACTCCAGTCGCGCTGTTGTATTCTATCTTGGACCATCAAATAAATCTGTTGACGTCGTAGCACGTGCGTTTTTCTATTGATTTTTTTGTAACATTTCAGGTGAAGGGTAATTTATAGCTACGAGCAAAAATTCTTCGGCAAAAAAATATGCCACAGAACTATATCTGTATGAATAAGTAAAATCTCTATGTGCCAAAGTTTTTGTAGAAGATTGTTTTCTCAGGTAAATGGGATGTTTGTTGATTGCGTGTTTTCAATTTTGATGCAATAATAGGAAAAATATGATTAAATTTTCGAAGCAAAAGTTATAGTTGGTAGTTAAGATGTAGTTATGTTCTCGGAAGTAGCCCGAGCTCTTACCCGTGTCAATTAGTTTCCAGTCCAAGAAAGTAAACCATGCGCGCGCTTGTCAACAGGAGACAAAGTCTGATTGCTTGTGACTGGTTAACATGATGAATCGGAAATGAGGCAGGGGGCTATTTGAAGGGAAAATTTTTTTATTAATAAAAGAATACAAGTATTATTTCTTTCTTTGCTGATATAGAAAAGAGTTTACAATTTTATAAAGTTACTATAGTTTTCTTCTTACAATAAAAACGGAAAAGGGCGTTACAGGTTGAAATTAAACTAGTAAAGAAATTTAAAGAAACATTTGATATTGACGAAAAGTACGAGAGTACGCAAAGAAGCATGAATGTTTGATGATGCCAAACAATGAAAAAATATTATTTTACTTTAATAATATTACATTGGAAATTGATGAAGAAGATACAGTGAAATTGTTCTTCGACAGTTTAAATGATTTTAGTCCAAAATTAAACGGGCTGGAATTAATTAAATGTAAGTGCACTAACTGGAGAAGAAACATACTTTTGTCGGAGCAAGAAGACCAACTGAAAAATGAGACAATGAATTCTTTCAATGACATGTATTAATCTTTTGCATTATTGAGACGATTTGTGAAGCTTAACATGAATACTCTGAAAATAAAAATAAAATGTAGCATGATGTAAAATTGTAAGAGGGCATGTAAATTAATAAAACATACTACCTTAGTAAAACATGGAACTTTAATTTAACAATATTCGATAGATAAACATGCCGTTAAAAGTATTATTGGTAAACTGCCTTCCCGTTTCAAGGCAGAATGGTTAATACTTATGCAAAATAGCGAACCTTTATAGATCACCGACTAAAAATATCAAAAGTCGTTAAATTTTGATTAGTTTTGCTTAATGACTAGTTGAAAAGGAACAAAATAATCTACTTGCACGTGCTTGTCAATTGTTCAAAAAAAACTTGCTCAATCATGCCTAATGTCTAACTGGAATTTTTTTCTGGTGCATGTTTTAATCAATCAACTAAAAAAAGAAAATAAAAAAAAACATTTTCGCTGATCTATTTTCCGCGTGATATTGCATATTCCGTCTTATGATTATATCGCGTACGGGAGTTTGAAGTTTGAAAATGCCCTTAGTCTTGAGAAACTAGAATGCTATTTGTGAAAATACTATCATTTCCTCAATGGATGAATTAATTTCATTTTAAACATGATTTCGAATGCCCAACTTCATTATTTTGCGCACTTTCTGTTTACTTTGCTATTCACTAATATTTAAAAAAGAAGACTGAAACAGAAACCATGATAAAGGATTTTCTTTCAATGAAAGTTTTTTCTCACTATAAACAACAGTTGATTTTAATCAATTCAACATTGAAATATTAACAGTATCTAAAGTTTCTCATAACAAAAATTCTTTGATAACATTTAATCATCTTCATCATTAACAGTGTCAGTAAAGCTGTGTAGTTTTGAAAGTCGGTTAATAAGGAACTTTGTCTTGTCAACGGCTGCTTCCATAGCTTTCTGTGGATCTAAGTCGTCGTTTACTATCGTACTCTTCGTCAATATTAAATGTTTCTTTCAATTTCTTTACTAGTTTAATGTCAACCTTTAAAGTCATTTTTCGTTTTTATTGTAAGAAGAAAACTATAATCATTTTATAAAATTGCAAACTCTTTTCTATATTGGCGAAAGAAAGAAATAGTATTTGTATTCTTCTACCAATAAAAGCAATCTTTCCCTTCAAAATAATACCCTGCCCCATTCAACCGATTCATTAAGTTGACCAATCATAAGTAATCTTACTCCTTTTCCTGTTGACTCGTGCGCCAGGCTTACCTTCTTGGATTGGAAATTAATTGACACGAGTAAGAGCTCCATCTACATCCGAGAGCTTACCTGCATCATATTTACTATAGTTACATGTATTATTGCAACTTTTCTTTTGCTACACGAATGTGAAAACAAGCGAAGAAAATGGGAGAATTTTTGGTACGGCCGTTATCTACTCAAAATCGTAGCCATTCAAAATAACTTTGCGCGTGAACAGGCTGCAACTTATTCTGAAAGCATGAAAAATGTTTTCTGTAAGAGCTAGAGTTTATAACGCATTCCCATGGCAAACTTTCTTTAATTGCTCGTTTTGCTATACGAGCAAATTAAGGGGTCAATACCTTCTATTGCTAAAATGTTTGTTGAAAAATATTTTAGAAAAACATGCTTGTACAACTTTTAACAAGCATTTTTGTTGTCATCTGAGGATTAAGTTAAGCAAAAAAAAATAGTTGCTGTTCATTTTGACATTAATGACCGAAAATTTAAATTGACCAAGATAGCTCTGTACACTTTTAGCAGACTAAAGAATTCATGAGCAAGAATACCTCTGTAGAAATTTTGAATAATTCTGATGCCTTTGAAAAAATACATATTTAAAATTGAAAATGGCGATAATGAAAAAATGACTAGCCTTTAAAGCGAGGAATTGCACATTGGCAGCAATCTTGAAACTGAAAGAGAACATGCCTTAGACAATCAATGGTAATACTTAGATAAAATGATAACAAAATGCGAAATTAAAGACAAAATTAATACCAACCCTAACCCTAAACTAACCATAGTACTAACCATAATACGAACCCTAACCCTAACCCTAACCAGAAATTGTTGTATTATATAAAAAAAAATTCATTGATTTTGAGAGGTAAAAAAATGCAATTAAAGAGTAGTTTAGCACGATTAGAACTCTCGTCTCTAGCTGGCGATGCGTCCCGCTTATCACTGAGCTATGCCAGCTTCGTGCAAGATATGGAATCTTATTAGTTTTTAGATTTTCACTACAGGAAGTAACAAACTCAATATGGCGGCCATTTTGCAGTTTCTCTATTTACGTGTTATTAAAAAATGAGAAGAAAGTTCCTCTTACACCAATACAACATTGATTTAATAGACATAGCAAATTTGAAGGATGTTAAATAATATTGAATAACAGATATTTACGAACTTTTATAGGATATCTCATGAAGATCCCTGATTTGAACATTTTACGAATATATGGACAAGAGATCGAGTGCAAAACGTTCCCTATACCTGATCAAATGTCTGCATTTCGATCGAAAAAGATGTCGGCGTATGTTGAGGAAGAAGATATATTTCAAGATATTTGTCTCCACCATGTAATACGTAGTTCGAAATGCGAATTTGCCAACGAAATAAAAAGATTCGATTATGAGTTCAAGCAGTGTATCAAGGAAGAGCGCTTCGCTTCCCCTCAGCAGATTCGTGACTTTCAAAAGGTATTTAGAAAATTATGCTGACTACACAATATTTGACGAATAGATTACACATTTGTCGTCGTCTATTCAATACAAATAAACCGTTTGAATTGTCTTTCTCTTCCTAACGCGATGCAGCTAAGACTGGACCTTATTTAAGATCTGACAATTTTGTTGCAATGTTGTATTTAATTATTGATGCAACGCTGTATTCGATCACGAAATTTTATTAACAGAAGTAAACAAAAGCACGCAAAGCATTAACGTGAGACTCATTCTTCAATGAATTTGACAAATCTGCTCCTCTGAGATTTCATAACGGTTTTTAAGTTTTTAATGCGAGACAAATTAAAAAGTGCTCTATACAATTGTGCTCATCTTATATATACTTCGCAAAAGATTTGTGATATCGAAGCGACATTGACAATGTTATAACAGCCAAAAAACTGTAATCATATTTTCCATAGTTGCTAAGAGCATTTATAAGCGTGTCACTAATTTAATTTGCGAAAGAAAAAGCCATTGCAGATTTAGTTGTCTTATTCAGATCTCATTTAATCCATGTATATTTCTTGTATGGGTTCCTTTTTTTCGTGGCATCCTGTAGCTCAGTCTATATTGTGTATAAAAAAAGTTGGATCAAACGGTGGTGAAAAGTAGATTGTAAGCCATTGTTGATTACGATATCGAATGTGATCAATGAATGTTCCTTACGAAGCGTTTTCGAAACTTTTTATTTGATTACTTTTATCAACTAAACTGGTGAAATGAATTTAAAAAATATTCACTAACTTCAAATGGTTTTACATTAACTAAGAGCAAAGACAATTTTTCGAACTTTGCATCATCTTTGGATTTGTATCCTTGCTTAAGTTTTGCAATGTAAATTTGATCCACGCTGGTTTAAGTATTTATTTGATGCATTTATATAACCAAAAATTTTTGATTTTGAAGGCAAGCGTTTCAAAAGTAATGAGTAAACTAATTTAGTTTCATTTCGCTTTTTTTATGTACTCGCTATTACTTTAGGTAAAGAAACTTGCTGAGGAATGGGCTATAGCACACAACAACGTGCATGTGATACTTGCTACTTGTACAGCAGCTTACAGTGATCGCATTATGAAACCATGTAAGGGTTTTGTTAGCCAGTGCATCATTGACGAATGCGCAATGTGTATCGAAGCTCAAACACTTTGCGGAATGTTAGGCTCACAAGCTGAGCAAATTGTTCTCATCGGTGACCATAAACAACTTCGACCAATAATAAAATGCAAAAAAGCAAGAGAGTTGGGCCTTGGAAGATCAATGTTCGAGCGCTACTCAAATGAAGCAATGATGCTTAAAATACAGTACAGAATGGTGAGTATTCTCATGCGAGTAATTTTGATGAACCAAAACATTTTTCCCGTTTCATCTTCATCAAAACATGTTGAATTCCGCTTGTTAAGAAGTATACTTTAAATATAAAATTAGCCTCTGTGTAATATTATATATTTTGCCAAACCTGCTAAATCCGTAAATAGTCATAGTAGTTAATTGTATTATTACTAACATAGATAATTAAAAAAATCTGACTTAAGGCATTACATTGAAATAAAGAAATGTTTGGTTTTTAAAGCATGAAGAGATTTGTCGATTTCCATCAAATCGGTTTTATGAAGGGAAACTCGAGACAGACGAGACTGTGATTCGCCGCAAAAAAGAGGACAATGTAGAATGGCCGAAAGGTGATGCATTTCCTTTCAAATTTATTCATGTTGAAGGAGAAGAAGAATCGCTTATTATTACAACTGCAAAAGGAAATGAAAAGTCAAAAATGAATAAGGACGAAATCAATAAAGTTGTAAGTAAGGCTAAATGTTTATTTTACGTACTATATCTTGCATTTGTATACTTTTTTTATGTTATATATTTGAGTACTATCTATTGTGCACATGTTATTTAATGGCTAGAAAGTCTGGATAGAAAAATTTTTTTGCCAGGTCTCAAAAAGAGCTCGATCTCCGTGTCTCAAAAATTTATATTTGCGCTTAAACTTTGCAATTTTTTTAAAAAAATTATAATTAAAATTTAAAGCTACATAAATATATTACAGTTTTACATAAAACTTTTTCCAAAATAAATTACAGACTGAAATAAGTTCATTTATCCGTATCTCGAGGAAATCTTCACTCCAAGGTGTCGGTGCTTGGTCCCTAAGATAAAAAAATAATCTACAAGTAAAAAAGTGTAATAGAAGCGCTTTTAGTAGGCAAACTGATTTCTTTGAGAAACTTACTTTCACAAGATGTGCATGTTCTAGATATCGTCTTCGTTGAAAGTATTTTTAGCTCTTAGTAACAAACATCTAAAAACATAATCAACTATCTTAACACTTCAGCACGTATGAAATTGCGGTGTAAAATTTATTACTACATAACTTACGATTTTTTAACTTATGAACGGAAAGTACATCATATTGTTCGAGCAAGCTCTTTTAGAACAGGCCACAGCGCTCACATTTCTATAATCAGCTTTTGATTAGTTAACACAAACCTTGCCGTCCAGTCCAGTCATGTTTCATTGAGCTGGGTTAGAATTTCTCTAGCATAGTCACTGCTATTTTTACAGGTCATTCTAGGAACTGCTTGTCCACAACCGAACTTGAGTAGCTAGGGTATCCTTAGAGTAAACCACTGTTATGATGAACTGGTTTGATAACACCACATTCACGTGCCATGACAAAAATTTAACTGTACATACGATAGAGCAGTTCTGTTCTTAAACTCTAATTTTCTTCTAGTTTAAAACATGTTGCTTTAAAAAAGCACTGTTATATCGAAACTTCTCTGTTTGATATCTAATTGAAAATATTGCGAGGGCGCGCAGTGCCTGCAATAAAGTTGAGCGCCCTTGCAAAATTTTCAATTTTTAATTGCATGTAGTTTTACAGATGTAATTGCCTGCCAATGTAATGACAAACTTCACATGTCACTTCTCTAATGCACGAAACCGTTTTGCTAGCACATTTTCATTGGTTTCACAATTTTTTGTAGATTTCTGTTCTACATTATCTCATGAAATCTGGCGTTAAAGGAAAGAACATCCTTGTTTTATCACCTTATCGTGCACAGTGCACTGAATTACAAAAAGAAATGAAAATAGAAAAAGATTATGATGACGTTTCTGTGATGACTGTTGTTGCTGCGCAAGGTAAGACTTGAGAAGCGAAACTTTACAATTACTTCTTTACTAGGTGCACCCCAAAACCTCAAAAAACTAATTCATCAATGCATCTCGAATTAGTTTGCTGCATGAATTAAACAGTTTTTTGAAAAAAGTCAACTTATAGTATAATGCATTGCCATGTCTTATTTCATTCCCATGTGATAAAGAGGAATAGTCAATTGCATTTTACTAAAATACTGTTTAATTTATATGAAAGACTAATTCGATGTGCACCCATCAATTTGTGAGTTCAGTTTTCCTAGGACACTCCATGAAGTTTGCACAATCTTGTGCCAGACGTAAAGTTAGCCTAATCACGCCTTTGTATTTAAATTGAAATTTCTAAATAGATAAAAAGCTATATAAAATATTTATAAACATGTTGTGAGATGTCCGTCCATGATCCCATTGGAAAGCCCTGTAAAAGAAAAGAAAATATTAAGGGCATACGAAGCACATTTACGTTGGGGGAGAGGGCACAAAAACTTCTAGGGCATTTGCTTGTTAAAAAGGGCATTTTGGGTTGACACGATTTATTTTACTTTTTAAATGCCTTACCGTTCCAATGACTCATAGAATCCAACATTACAGTTTATGCTGTTAAAATTTTTTTTGTTAAAAATTCTTTTATGTTTGTTTTGTTGCAAATTTATTCTCTTATTTGTTTGTGTATATCAATCAAAAGGTTATTTTACGTACTGCCTTTCAGCGGTGGTTATCATTATATTAAATATCTTTTTAGAAATTTTTCAAAGGAATTGAATCTTTCAGCAGATGCACTAGTTTGTGGAAGCAATTAGTATATAAATGCAACAAATAAAGAAAATGAGGAGATTAAATGAATTCTTTTAAGCTTCAACAGTGGAGAAATCAAATTTTCATGGGCAGAAAGCACCATGCTTTTTCTTCGTCTGAATTCATGTTTGGTGACACATCCAAACAGATTCTGTCCTTTTAGCTTTATTTTTTGTGGTTTCATTTAAAACTGGTTTTACCCTTTGGAAATTATTCTCATTCTTTAAGGCAAAAGGATAAATTTTCTGATTGCTTCTGATGAATAAGACTTGGTATTTGGCTTTTGCTTTTGTCTATACTCCTTCACATCCATTTCGAGGCAAGTACGGAGGAAAAGGATTCTTCTTCCCCTGCGTGATAGTTAGTCGTTTTTGTTCTTTTTAATTATAGCTAATACTGGTGAAAAATACTGAAAATATATAGCTATACGACGAGTGTATTGCTAATTACTAAACAGTAACATAATTTCCTTTGAGTGCGAGTTTGCCAAATTCTTTAAGATGACTATTTGGTGTAGAATGATAAATTTACTAAGGCACTTTTCTCGACAAACTTCTCAATAAAGTGCCACTATCAGCAAGTATTTCTATTAGCGATATCAAAATTTAATGTAATATCTAACATATCGGTAAGAAAAATTTTTCAATTAGGTAAAATTGTCTTCTTGTTATGGAGGCTTAAAGTTGCCTTTCAATGGATATTGTCCATCGTGGCATGAAGTCTTAGGTATAGCCAAATTCTGACGTCATCCAAGGTAGTTGGTATAAATATTTTTTATTGAGGAATCCCTTGCATGACGTAAAAAAGGTAAGTCGTTCCAGACTTTTCGAGCGACGGACAAGGTCCATTAAAAGAAACATTTTTAATAGCAATTTTAAATAGCAATAAAAATGGAACGATTTGACAAACTTAATATCGCTATTGAAATTTTTTTGCTGAAAGGGGCACTTTTTGTGTTATTTTTCGGAAGTTTAAGTCTTGGACCCCTTGGACCCCCTAATTCCGACGCCCTTGGAACATCTAAAGAGTAAAAATATTTGTTATGAAAACAAAGTAATCTTTTGGCCGAATTTTCAAAAATTTTCATGACATTCGAGAAAAATTCGGCGGCGGTGGCTTCAAAATTTGTTTACTGCAAATATATAGTTGCTTGTTCTAGTCTTTTTTCGTCATTAGTGTAGTCAGTACATGCCATTGAACTAAAACACATGGAACGCTACCTGTAATAGAAAACCCAAATAATTTTTTGAAGCCGTAATTTTACCCCAGACACGCGTGTGTAGTCAACCAATTATCACTCCGCGAGAGAATCTCGAAACACTAAACACGCGTGTCTTGGGTAAAATCTCGCGTGTCTGGCGTAAGATATGGCTTCAATTATTTGCTTGTGGTAGCGTTCCATGTATTTTAATTCAATGGTATATGCATTATTTAGTGCTATTTTTTCTTTTTAATTAGGAAGTGAAAAGGATTACGTGATATTGTCATTAGTAAGATCTTTACCAAAATGTGACATTGAGTTTAACCCATCTAAAACATGGCTTAGTGAAAATGTTGGTTTTGTAATGGATGAAAATCAAGTAAACGTTGCTCTAACAAGAGCAAAACAAGGTCTTGTGATTATAGGTTAGTTTATTTCCGTAACATGTGTTATTTTGTTAATATGAATTATATATGAATACATATCTTTTACATGCAGCATTTCTCACTAATAAGTGAATTTTTTAAAAATGTGCGATAGCTTCGTACGTGATTTGTTAATTTTTTCTACAGTGTTGTACTAAAATTATTTTGATATTGAGCTAAATCAATTTTACATTTTATCATTGCCTTGAAAAATGGAGCTTCCTTTCCTTTCTTAAGTGCATTTTCGATGTGATACGGAACACAGTTTTTAGCTAATTTACCGTTTGTATTTCTTAACTTTTTTGTTGTTGTTTTAAGGAAATGCTAATTTAATGAGTGCACGCCGTGATGGAGTATGGTTAGCGTTACTTGATCACTACAAAAAGAAAAGCTGTTGCATTGATTGGCAAGAAGATAGGGATGACTTTTCATCGGATGACGAGAGCTCAACTAAACCATGTTGATCTTAAAAACAATTAGTTTGAGCAAAAGATGTCTGTTTCCCAGTGAGCTCCATATAATAATAAATGTTGCTCTGTAGGGTAAGAAATTCTTATTTTGCTAAGCATGAATCTTGAAATGCTTTAATATTAGTTACTTTTCGTTTATATGGAGCTCACAAAACAAGAAATTGCTCATCCTTTCTTCAATTTGACTATTATTTTGCATCAATTTGCATCGGCATTAGTATGGTAAAATTTAATCAATTTTAGTTAGATATATAATTGCTCATAACTTTTTAGTAAATGTAATCATGTAAAGTCGCAAAAACAAATTTAGCGTCATATTAAGCCTTTTTAAGCTTATAACTACATTTACACTACTAAACTACAGAGCAGAATTTACCTGCGTTTGCACTGATTTGCTTGAATTCCGCTACAGTTTTGCAAGTGTGTATACACGTAATGTCTCTCTTGCTGTCAAAATTCATTGGTGTGTTAAAGACTTCATTTCTCGTTTACACATTGCTAGATTTTTGTATTTCTAGGTCATAAATCATGAAAAAAACATTGATTAGCATAAATTGCAGAGGAATTTGACAATTTGTCATTAAAAGCTTTCCAAAACATAAAATATTCACTATTTTCAAGTATGCGCCACAATGCGTGACGAATTGAAGAGAACTGGTATTTAAAGTGTAGCAAAATATTAACAGCTAGGTGTTCTTACAATGCTGCGTAGCGTTCCGTTTTCGTTCAACCACGTTTAGAAAGTGTGGTTGTATCGTAACGCTCCAGTGCAGTATGCGTGCGACTGGGTTCTGTTACCTTTTAGCGCCGTTTTTAGGCCGATCCCAAGTTGTGTAAACGTAGTCTTGATAATAAATGTATGTATGTTGCAAATGAATTAAAAATTATTACTTTTTTATTGTCATTAGAACAGGCGGCCAAGAACTTTGTTTCGTTCTGAAAATAAGAAATTTTTGTCTTCAGCAAAATTATATAAAGGAAAATGCAACTAGCAAGAATAAATAGACGGTTGGCTACTCCACTGTTTATTGCATTACTAAAGCACCTTTAATTGCGTGACTAAATACACCAATAAATGACGATAATTAAATTATTGTAGAAATAATTCTTTAGCTTACATTTTCATTAACTTTTTTTCTTTATTTCGTTGTTGGATCAACTTCTTTCCCTCCAGCCTTCTAAGCACTGTGTGTAAGGCTAAAAATTTCGAAATAGAACATGAAATAAAGGTAAGATTTGTACAACGTTGTGACAATAGTAAGCATAAATGATTGAGAAAATCTCATAATACTAAAACATGAAATAGATATGTTATATTGAACTGTATGGAAATTAAAACTAGTTGCCATGTAACTAATAAAATTGATAAACTACATGGAGTTGTCATAAAAACTGGCTCGGCATGATGTTGTATTTGTTTCAGAATTTCCAAATATGACAGATGAGGCAATATTATTGAATACAAACTATTGAGCAAGGACATGCAGACACATCTCAATCAGAGAAGTACTAGCCTATGTACATGAAAGTATATCAGTCAGTTGTCAGTTGTTCCATGAATTCAATGATAAAAAGGTGCTATGATTAGTAGTCAAACCAACTACAACTCCTCGCCCACTTAACGCAGTTATTAATGCTCATATTTTATTATAAAAGAAAACAGTACAAATGCATCCTTCAGACAAACTTTCAATGAAAACGTTTATAGCTAAAATCAAAGATCAATGCCCGACAACGTGCTTTATTCTTCTTAAGATCAAGCACGTTATCAACGACCACGTTTTGATGTGTCAAAAGTTTTAAACAACGCCAAAAACCTCTAACAGACAAAAAGCAAAGATCTCCGTCTGACTAAACCAATAAAATAGTGGAATCAATCTTCTCGTCTTTTGAATTACAAGAGGAATAACGAAAAAAATGGCACATATGTTGTTTTCATATCAACAAAATTGTGTTTCATTACAATAGTAAACATAGTTTCAATCAGGCTTCCCTGTCTCATCGTCGCTATCTACTCCCTCTTGTGTTCCTAAACGTTTGTAGTCATAAGCACTTGTTGAAGCGTAAATTGCAAAAACAGCAAAGAATATAAGAGAGACAACAGATATCCCGAACAAAGTTTTCTTGATGCCATATTCGTTTAAAAAATAGCCAGTCATCAATGAACCGATATCTTTACCAACGCCATTAAAACTAAGACTTGCCACTCCTAAGAAAAGAGACATTTTTGTATGAGTTTATGTGCATAGACAAAAATATATAATCTTAAGTAGAAAAGAACGTTCATTTTTACGACTTTTGGAATTTTCGGTGTGCAAGACTGGTTTCATACATCGTATTGTTTCCGATAAATTATACTATTGCTCTTTCTAAGTGTTTTGAAACGTTGGTGGGATTCACAGAAAATTTTTTTATATTAGATACATACAATTAAACGTTAATTTCATATTCATTTCTGCAAAACGCAAAACATATAGCTAAATAAACTTGTTTGTTCTTCAGTAAAATTATTCTAGTATTCTACGCATTAATTTGATTGTCTGTACTGTACTCATTATCTAATGCCCAAAAACATAGCGAATGCTAAAAAACATAGCAACCATCTCACGTTTTCTCCTCAGCAAGGGCAAAATTTAAGGAGGGGAATGATGGTGATTATCCCCCCCCCCCAAAATGTTATCGCTTCAATGTAATGATTGAGTTTGCAGGGCAATTTACAAAACTAAACACTGTTCCAGTTTTAATTAAGAGCTTTCCATGAAAATTCTATTTTGCCAGCAGTATCAATCTTTTGTTTTCTTTATTAAAGTTGAAAGTGAAATTATTGAAGTTTTTATATCATAAGTGGAATCACCATACTATGTTTTTATATCAGCAAACACGAAGATAAAGTTTAGATGATTTAAATTGAATGAAGTTTTTTAGTAAGTAATTTGTGCTAGTATAGTTTATATTTACAAACAAGGAAAGTCAAGGATGGATGATAAGTAATCACAAGCAAACAGAAATCATTTTAACATGAGACCCGAAATCAGAAAAAGTGTAAATGTGATTGGTATCTATGGTGATTATAACAGAAAATTCCAAAGCTATCAAGAGCAAAAAAAAAGGCGTATCGACGAAAAATTAAGTTTTCAGCATGCATGATTGAAATGTTCAATGATAATTCTCCTTAATATAATAATTTAACTCACAAAGGAAAGGGAAAATTATCAATATCGTCAATAAGTTACAAAACAAGACTCTCCTTTGCTTCGTGCAATGTAAGTTAGAATTTGTTTCGAAATCCATAAAAGAGCAATAGCAAAGGACATGTTTCGTAAATTCTGTTTTAAACGAATGTCTAGAAAAATATGACGTCTTTACAGACAACTAGCATCAGTCTTAGAGAGATAAATAAAACAACCGTGCATGAAGAAAAAAACAAAGAAGAGTTGAACTCATGTGCTAATGCGGAAAAGCCGTTTACATTGAAGAAGTGGAACATTGTATGGCTATTGAAGACCCTTTATTTGATGAGAATGACACTTCTTTAATTTATGTCTTTTTTAGACCAGAGTTTTGTATTTACTTTATTGCATGCGTCTTCTTTCACAATCTCCTTATACGTTTAGGCTGCACACAGTGAAAAATTACCAAACTGTGATTCAGATAACTAATAAGATTTTGCATGGATCACTTTTGCAGGACAGTTAAGAATTCGACCACAACTTCTTTATCAGTGTTCGAATGTCGATGAAATGATAACAGATTTTGATAAACACATAAACAAGAAGTGCATTTCAGAAAACACGAAGCAAATAGCAAAAAAGCACAAGATTTGTCTGTGAAACTTATAAAAAATCGTGCAATTGTTATCAACAAAGCGCAATAGATAAACGGTGTGCGATGATGGAACAAAATATGGAGCACTTGTGCAAACAGGAATGGAAAACTTCATAGGCACTTCAGTAGAAAATATCATCAAGCTGCTCTAGCTGATTTTGCTTATTTCCCAATAACATCTGGCCAAATTATTGTTATAATGAATGCGAAAATGAAAAAAATATTAATCGAAGAGAAATCAGATGAAGAAAAAACAAGGAAACTATGTTGATTCTTTTTGATGTGGCTTGCACTTTAGAGGAGGCGGCGTTGACAAGGACAGAAATTTCATTCAGATTGTAAATTTCCTCTCAAGACATTGTCCTGTTCTCAATCTATGGCTTGACAATCAGTGCCTCATGCCATGCAGTACAACATGTACAAGCTCAGAGGCACAAAATGAGATGCTTTATTTTCTGGCTCAATCTATGAGGGATGAAATTCGTTCTGAAATTAAGTCAGCCAGTATATTTTCTGTGTCTGCAGACCCTACATTTGATACATCGAATTCAGTAGACAAGCTTATCGTTGCTGTAAGGTATGCCAACCAGATGGGTATCCCATCAAAAGATTGGTTGAAATGAAAGAAAACCTTGATAAAACTGGTGCTGGAACGGCTAAAGATGTCATAAAATCTTTAATAGAAAATGAAATCAATGTAGATACGCTTGCATTTCAAACATTGTTGCAAACATATCTTAATAATTGCATTAATGTACGACGCTCTAGAAAACGTATATGTGTTTTCTAGCCAAAGCACAAAATGAAATATAGTCATGGAACAAAGTTGCAAAGAAGTTGAAAGCAATTTAAACTTTAAGAAAGGGGTTTACAATTCCGAGTCTATTGCTGCTATCTGGATAAGTTATAAGGTAATACCACATGCTATTGTGAATTATTATTGCCCGAGACGTAGAATCAAAAGTAAGGGCTAAAGGCGATGGAAAATAAGACAGAAATTTCTTTGTTTTAACCTTCTTTTTGCGCTTATGATCATGCAAATCAAAATGACAAAAACCAAAATCCTAATTAAACAGCTGCAGGCGATGGAGCTAAATATAGTAGATGCACTTAACCTTATTGATGCTACAGCAAAAAACCTTAAACAAATTCGAAGTGACAAGAACGGTTTAGACTCGGAGATAGAGGCGTGCATGAGTTGTATTTGAAACATAGTAGGAATAGACGTAATGGAGGAATACACTGATCATCATCGATCGTGAAAGCTATGCAAACGAATAGGCAATTTTTCTGAAATAATTACAGTAATATCATTTAAATATTTCCACCGAAAGAAAATGTACTTGGTACTCTGGTACGTGTATTTTTATGACTGATCCGCCCCTGTCTAGACTCTCTTATTATCGACTATTTTGATAATATTAACGTTTTGCATCGACCAGATAAAACCTCTTAGAGAGAGCTTACAACTGTCGCAAAAAAGACCAAAGGCTGAAACAGTGAATGAAATGTGCACTCTTTTTCCACCAGTGGTAAAAGATGTTGATGCTGGAATATTCCTGTCTGAGTTGGGTATTTTTAATAATAGTGCATCATCATGCACAACTTAAATCAGAACCCAAATCCGTTCAAGACGTTGCGTTATTCGCTTTCAAACACAAAAAAGTCTTTCCACCGTAGTGCAAGGCGTATTAGCCATTGCTAAACACCCCGATGTCTGTGGCCAATGATGAAAGGTGTTTCAGCAAACTTAAGATTGTTAAAAACTGCCTTAGATCCAGATTGAAAGATACGCAATTAAGACATATGAAGTCATACATGCGACGCATGTCATATGTTAATGAAAATTGATGAAGTCAGGCAATTTAAGTATGTAAGTCTACACAGTCTTGCTGACTTGTATGGCTTATCAATATGCACTTTAGTTGTTAGCTTTTATCAATGAAAACGATGACAACATACTGAAATTAATGAGTACACACTTGAGCAAATCTGATATCCAACACACCCTTTTACTTTTACAAACAAATTAAGCAGTAAGCCGCTATGGATAGCCAATAACATGAATACTTTTCAAAAAAGAAA